CTAAAAAATCTTAAAGCTGTACCACCCTATGTCATCAAAAATTCAGGATACTGTCACAGATTTCTGTGAAGTGTTACAATTATTCTGCAAAGCACCTGGTACTATCTATTAAAATTTTAAATCACATGCCATATGACTTCTTAATTTCACTTTTTTTTTCTTCCCCCCCCCCCCCTTAATTTCACTTTTGGAAACTATCCTATAGAAAAGTTCAACAGTAATATACACAAAGATATCTCCTGTAGTTTATTTTATAGTTGCAGAAAGAAGGGAAAAAAACTATAAACAATCTTTCCATTATGGATGATTAAATTATGGCATAATAATGCCAATAATAATGGGGACTACCTACAGTTTTAAAAAGAATAAGCCTGATCCTTACCTATTCATTGAGAACTGTCTGTAACATAAATACTTAAATACCTATAACGTAATACCACAATACAACATAACACGCTGTTTTGCTGTTGGGTTGAAAAAAAAGAAAGCTGCAGAATGTTTACAGTATGATCTTAAAGTGGTATCTGTATGAATATGGGAAATGTGGTTGAATACACATGTGGATATTAACATTCATTACCCCAAGGAGGAGGGAATAATCGACAAAAGGGGGGAGTGAAAGGATAATTTTTTTAAACATATGTTTGGGTAGTTTTACTTCTTTTAATGGGCATGTGAATTTAGAATTTAAAATTCACTATATAGAAAAAAGGCATGCAGCCAGCTCATTTAACTACTAGAAAATGAGATAACTGTGTTTGATTTTTCAGCTCACTTGAAAAACAAGATTCGACTTTCAGATAACCACCTGTCTATGTCAGTAAAAAGATGAATTTGCTAGAAGAAAGAGGACTAGATCAGAGCATCTTTTTCTTTTTTTACATTTAAAGAGCAGGTTTATTAGAAAAGGGACAGAAGAGTAAAAGACACTTGCATAGATACAAGTGGGCAGAAAGAGCTGCCCTGAAAGGGACAGGTTTGCTGAGAGAGGCCTGTATGGTTGCAGGCAGGCGGCATAGAGGACAGCGGCCTTCACTGAGGGAGGTCAGTGAAGAGAAGTCCCGGAATGGTGCAGGTCACAGGCAGGCAGGAAGCTGCTGCCCTGCAGGAGAGAGTAGGTGAAAGGAAGCACCTGTATAGTCACAGATGGGCAGACAGAGTGCTGCGGATCAGATCATCTTTTGAGGTCTTTCCACTATTTCTTTTCCCTTTTAGTTACAATCACACATACCAGGTAAAAGAAGGTTTTTACCAAAGGGTTTGTTAAATAAACAGTTATACTGGAAGTGTAAACATTCACCACAGCAAACCAAACAAAAACAGAAGAGTACAAAGGGCAAACCAAGGGAGAAAGAATTAACAACAAAAAGGACAAGGCAGCTGCTGTCTAAACACCTATGTGAGTTTTTTCTGCTCAACTCACATATTCAATGTCTGACCTAGCAATAAAAGAAAGGCATTGCCTCTTGCAAAACACAACTCACATCCGTGGTGGTTTACAAACCACAGTAACAGATCTGCTCTCAGCTAAAAGAACATTTCTCTGGGGCCTGGCTGGGGTGAGGCCCATACCACTTCATTGTAACAGGCTTTCTAAGTTCTACTTCACTTAAAAAAAATTATTTACCTTTCCTTTCCAAATGCTTTAAAAGGAATTTGTTCCCTTTATTGGGGTATATCTTCTATGAACCCCTGTCAAAAACAATTTTCCAAATGGCTCAATATGGTAAATATGACAGACTTCACAATTATGAAACCACACTGCTAAAAATAACTACCTTTGGAAAAACTATCTATACTTAAAGAATGAAGAAACAACAAAGTAACACTCACCATAGCTTCAACATCAGCCCAAGTTGTAATTTCTGGATCGGAAACCAGAAAGCTTTGAGTTTTATTTTTACAGTAACCTGTGGTTCCATGTTGTGGGACTAGAATTGATTGGGTGGGTGAGATACAGTAACCTTTGGTCACATTTAGAGTAACCTGTGGTTCCATACTGTGGGGCTAGAGTTGAGAGGGTGGATAAGAGAGAAAATATGTTAGAAAGCGTTCCATAAATTGCATAAACATTCATTCAACAAACACTTGTGAAGACTTAATATAGGCTAGGCTTGGGGGAACACAGCAGAGAAGACAATGCCCTTGTCTTATGCTATTTATAAATTAGTGGGTGGTTTAAAACAAGTCTCACCTTTAAACAGAATTGTTTTTAAGAAAGACATTAGTGGTAAAACAATGCAATAAAGAATTATACTTTAAGACATAAAAATTATTCTCAGAATTGTTAGGAACTTCCACACGGAAATAATTATTTGCTGACAGTATGTCAATTTTGGCTGCACCCACACAATCACCTAACATTTGCAAAATCCTTAAGGATTTTATGGAATTTTCTAATGACTGCCAAATTAAACAGATACCCACTGAATACCTGCTAGAAGCAGGATACCAAGCTGAAAGTGACATTCTATGTTTTTCTTGGAAAAGCAGCCTTTTCCTAAATTGAGCAATCCAGATTCTCTATTAGATCAATGTAAAAAAGCCAGGGGCCAGAACACTAGCCAAGAAACTACACTGAGTATTTTTTCCTTTTATGGAGAATTTCACATACAGAAAAGTGGAGTAATGAACACCTAACTTCCAAAGATCAAGTCAAGGCTACTTTCATTTCACCTATACCCTTGCTCCCCCACGAACCTCCTCCACACCACAGAATGTAGTCAACTAATGTTTTAACCAAACTACAGTAATGTAATTTAAAAACTACTTACTTTGGGAAAATTTAAAAGTCTATAAAAGAGCGATTAATCAGCCCTTATGGACTCACTGCTGGCTCCCACATTTATTATCAATCCAGGACTAATTCTGTTATGGCAATACCCTTTCCCTAATGGGTTTTCTTTAGAGACAGAGACTATATCATGCACTAAATAACTGAGTACCTCTAAATGATAAAATTTTAAAATATTAAAGATTCTGTTTACTTATGAGTTCTTAAGTTGAACTGGTTTTTACGATTTTATGAAAAGATGTTTAAATTAAACATAAGTCATAATGAAAAACAACTTTTAAACATATTCATCAACAAATCTTTACTAAGCATCTACAAAAAGCCAGATTCTCCAAGCATAGGAAATAGGAAATGAACAACATAGTTCTACGAGGCACTAAGGGCTGAGAAGAGTTGGGTTCCAGATACAGTCTGGCACATTAACAGCCCTGAGGGGTTAAGTCACTTAACCCCTTCACTTCAGAGACTTAATCTGTAAAATAGGTCTAATATCTCTGCTTTGTTTACTTTAATGTTACCAAAAGGATCAAACAAAAATGTGTGTGCAAGTTCTTTAAAAACATTACTCAAATATAAAACTTATAAACCAGTCTTTAGAACCTAAGGTGTTTTCCACATTACAATACACTTCCCAGTGAAACAACACAGCTAAGACTGTCTTAAAATTATTCCCCATTTTTTTCCACCTGGAGCTAAGCTCATCACCAAGATAATACCAGTCTCTATCATCAATCCTACTCACATTGAGTATCCATTCATAAGGAATGTAATTCTTGGGGTCCTTGCAAGTAGGAAAGAATTCCCCCTCCACTTGCCAAAATCTTGGCTAAAAAATGAGGGAAATGATAGTGATTGTATCAGTCTGCCAGAAGCGGATATTCTGAAGCATACTCTCCTTTTCAACTTCTGAGAAACATACTTCCACACTTCCTAGAGTCCAGAAGGAAATTTTATCTTCCTCCCTTTTTCTCAAATTACACAACTGAAAATTAGTTTAGATACTCTGGGGCTCATCCAGCTCAGCCGCCCTTGAGGAGAAAACAGGAAGTGGAATTCTAGTTAAGCTGGACCATATCCAGGTCTTCATAAAGAACTGCCTATCTCTGGCTTACATGTGAAAACTCTTTCAGCAAGGGCGTTAAGTCTTGAACTTGTGGAAATAACAATGCTATGATTAGCCCCATCTGTCCCTGGAGATTTAAAGCCAGGAATATCAGGTAGATGGGTCCCAGGCTTTCAGCCATCATAACTAGCATTATTCTAAATTCATGCCACTGACCTTTACTTGGCACAAGTCAGCTTTTCCTGTGCCTATTTTTTTCAGGATATCACAACTACCATTAATGAAGCCGACCTGAGAAGCTGAGATTTGATCATTTTCTCTACAAGAGGCCTGTACAGGCTATGTAGGCTTTAGAACTTGTGACTCGAAAGCTGCTTGACAAAAAGGGAAAACGATGCCTTTCCAACACCAGACGTCCCTCACCAAGGAGACTTAAGAGGGTCCCCAAAAGCGAGGGAGAAGTGGTGAGGGTGACTTGTAGGAAGTAATTTGTTTTTCTTTAAGACTTCATCCTAATTTTCCAATTATCATTTCTCAGCAGTCCACGTCCGCAAGACAGTGTTACCATCCCCTGAGGAGGATTCTCGTTTTCTTTGCCTAGCCTCTTTCGTGCCGGGGAGTCTCGGCCTTCCACCAGCAGAAGCCGGACATTCTGAACCACTGACCCTCAATCCCTCGGGAGGTATCCACTCCCTTGGCCCCTCAGATCATGAACAGTCTCTCATCAAGTCACAGAGATCGGCTGCCCCCAGACTCGGAAAAAGTCGCCCCTCTTCTTTGCAGGGCTCCTCCCGTGAACTTCCCTAAGCCCTCTTAGTGCGACGTGACCTCAACCCAAGGTAAACGCAACTGTTCCTTACCAGTTTCCCGCCCCCGGGGGGCGCCTGCCGGAGGCCAGTGCAAGGACTGTCCGCTGCCAGATCTGCTGCTATCCCTGCGGGGTGAATCTAACATGGCGGATAGAGACAGGGCCTAGTCCCGTTTCTCTAAGTTTCCGACAAGGTGATTGGCCTTCAGCACTTGTCCCTCAAAACTACTACCCTACTGATTGGCCGAAGATGAGTTGGCGGGGGCGGGGCAGGAGCAGCCGGAACGGCACAACAATAACAAACACAGGGGGAGAGGGGCGGCGCTGCCAGTGCGCAGCCGTGGGCCGGAGCCGAGTTCTCCCTCCCAGGTAAACCTGGCGAGGCCTGCGTTCCCTTAGGTCATTGACTCGAGAAGACTACTTGCCTGAGACTGGCGAGGCTGGATGGGAATTGTAGTCTTCCTGGGACTTGTAAATTCCTTAATCTATTTTTCGCTCTCAAGATACGAAAACGCAGCACTCCAATCCATATCTGTTGACGTGTATAAACGCACGTAGCTCTTCCATTTATCAACGGGGTTGCGTGAGAATCGTGCCTGCTTCCGGCGTCGGAAGCTCCATTCCATAAGACTACAGTTTCCAAGGATCACTGTGGCGAAGGCCTTTCGATCCGCAATGCATGCTGGAAATGGTAGTTCCCCCCCCCCCACTACCTTTTTATTTACCTAAACTGCATACTTCCATTACGGCGGAAAGGGTGAGGAAACGGGGCCTCTACTTGCGACAGTTATAGGCACTGTCTTGCGCTCATATTCGGGCCTCAGTGGCATTCTGACCCTAGTTCAGCAATCACTATGACGTAATAGGCCGCAACGGAAGCGTAGAGGTGAAGGGGCGGACAGCTCATGGAAGGCGCGTGAGAATTCTTTCTCTTCCGTCTCTTTTGATTACGCAAGAGAGGACAGAATGGCTGACCAATCGGAAGCTCCGAGAGTCTCTCGGCTCCTTAGGCCCCGCCCCTAGGAAACGTGTTTTGATCTCATTTTCTGAGAAGCTCTAGCTCAGCGGCGGAATGGTTTCCGTGGAGACAGAAAAGCGCGGGAATTACAGAAAAATTGAAATTGCGATTGCGCGCCCTGAACTCTCAGAGGCTTTCTGGATCGAGGATCTTCTAGAGGATCTTTTCAGAAAACTGGGCCCCTGGCTCTTGGAAGCCTAGGCGATCTGCTCTGGGTAAAAGTGAGAGCGCTCTGGGGCAGGAAAAGGGGCCCAAGAGGTAGGTGCTCCGAGGGGCAGGCGGGAAGCAGGTGTGGAGAAAATGGGGGAGAGCACGATGGGCGTTTATCTGAAAGGGTGGGCAGAGGGTTGGAACCTGAGAAGCTTAAGACGTTGAGTCGAGAAAATCGTAGGGGGTGGGGGTGTCCTCTAGTGGGTCGCGGGGAGGGGCACCGTGTGTCTGAAGGGCGTCCTGATGATAGGAACTGGAATGTGTTTTGAGGGAGACACTCTAGTACAAAAACACGGTTTGGTATTTGTAAGAGGGGACTCTAAGGACGATAATGGGGCCTGAATTTTTCAGGCAAGACAGGATTTTGTGGGAGGGATAATCCTTAAGTAATTAATTCAAAGGCCTTACCGAGAAAGTACTAGAGGGAAAGGGAGAGGGACATCTTTTAGCCCCAGATGCTGCTGAGAGGGATGTGTCTAGGATCAGTGGAGGTCAGTGGGAAACACTGGGGAAAGATAGGCATGGGGCACAATTGTTTGATGTTGGTTTTGTTTTGGTTGTTGATTTTAAGAACAAAAAACAGCCAGGATGGTTGGAGAAATCTGAGATTCCTGCCACACACTCATCCAATCAACCCACTGTGGCTTTAAGAAAAAGACCAAAAGGAAGGGGTTGGAGGCTATTTGTGGAAAGTAGAGAAACCAAATGGTCTTAATTACAAAAAAAAGACAACTTTTGTAATTTTTAAAATTAAGGCTTTGGCATTAGTTCTATGGTTGGTATAATTTTTAAAGTACTGTGATCTTAAATTTCTCTTATTTAAAAAGGACACTTAAAATCTGTGTGTAAAGTTCATTGGAACAGGAAGAAATGGATTTATCTACAGATCGAATTGAAGAAGTACAAAATGTTCTTAATGCTATGCAGAAAATTTTAGAGTGTCCAATCTGGTAAGTCAACTGAAGAGTTCTTCCTTATATAATTATTTTCTGGGTAAATGAATGGAATTGACCTTACATAGTAAGGAAAAAGTTATAATGTCTATTAAGATTAACATTGGCGGGCCTCCCCGGTGGCGCAGCGGTTGAGCGGTTGAGCGCGGGGTTGCTAAGCTGCCAGCAACCTCTGCAGTGCCAGTTCGATCGCCGGCGGCTCCCCGGCCACCTGAGGAGGGTCCCACATGGCGCGCAGGCCTCTCCTGCTGCCCGCTGCTCCCTTCAGCAGTATACTTCTGTCCTTCTGCCTGCTCTGCTCCCCGCTCTGGCTCTCTCACCCTCCCGCACTTCTGACTTACCCAGTGCTTGTATAAATAAGTAAATAATAAATCTTTAAAAAAAAAAAGATTAACATTGGCTATTAAAAATAATGTTTAGCCATAAAAAAAGAATGAAATGTTGCCGTTTAAAGCATCATGGATGGAACTTAAGGGCATTATGCTAAGGGAATTAAATCAGAATCTTTAAAAATAAAAAAGGCAAAAAGCACACTCAGATACAGAGAACAGATTTGTGCCTGGAGGAAGGGTGAAATGGGTCAAAAAAGTACAAACTTCTAGTTACAAAATAAATCAATCATGGGGATAGAATGTATAGCAAAGTGACTATATTACTAATATACTGTATTACTAATATACTATATTACTAATATACTGTATTACTTTAAAACTAGCTTGATCACTTAAAATGGACATAGTTAATAATGGTAAAATAAGATCCTGAATGATTGGTGTTTGTGAGTGGGTATATCTTCAAACCTTTGGCTGAAACTAGCCCTATATGTTTAAATAAGAGTGTGGCAAGTCTTCAAAACCTTTAGCAAATCTTTGGTTTTTTGAGTGAGCCTTTGTTTTTCTTCACCTACAAAATAAAAGGGGATGAGAATATTCAAGATGCAAAAAAATTGAGGTGTAATAGACATAGAGTGAAATGCAGTGTACAAGTGTACACTATAGTGTACGAGTGAGTGAGTTTTGACAGGCATATATTAATATATCTGCATAAGGCAGTTTTAAAGATACAGCATATTTCCATCACCCTAGAAAGTTCTCTTGTATCTATTCAGGAATTCTTTTTTTTTTTTTTTTTAACAAATATTTATTTATTAAAGATTTATTTTTATTTATTTACACAAGCACAGTCAGAAGCGTGGGAGGGTGAGAGAATTCACCAGAGCCAGAGCAGGGAACAGAACAGGCAGACTGATGAAACACACTGCTGAGGGGAGCAGCGGGTGAGGCCGGGGATCCAACCGGCACTGCAGAGGCTGCAGGCAGCTCCGCAGCCCAGCGCTCAACCGCTGTGCCACCAGGGGAGGCCCTAGAACTGTATTTCAATGTAAGTTTCTTGTATAATTATATTTTTTGTGTACTTTATTTTTTGTAATTGATTTATTTATGCATACAAGAGCTGGGGTACAGGCCAGAGATACTGGGGGGTGAGAGAACCCACCAGAGACAGAGTGGGGAACAGAACAGGCAGACTGACTGAAATACACTGCTGAGGGGAACAGTGGGTGAGACAGGAGAGGTCTGCTGCGCCATGTGGGTTGCTCCCTGGTGGGCCAGGGATCGAACTCTGTGTGCAGAGGCTGCGGATTGCTTCATAGTGCGGTGCTTAACCCCTTGCGCCACCAGGGAAGCCCTTTTGTGCACTTTAAACACTTTACACTAAGATGAATTTGACTAGCTCCTCAAGGGGGTCCATAACACAACAAAGGCTATAAGCCCTATACAGTCACTAGATGATCTTTGTGGTAACTAAATACAAAATAAATTAAAAACTCTACTTCATAATCTATTGGTGAAAAACCAGCAAGGAAATTTAGAAGAATTACTGCTTACCTTCTCCTAGCTTACTTTCTTTACTCGGGGCATTCGAGCCTCTTGAATGTTCTTAAGTCATGTGACTTATTCTGCCTCTGAGTTTTTATGCTTATTATTGTTCCCTCTGGCCTGGAATGTTCTTCCCCTGATAATTGCATGGCTCACAAACCGTTCTTGAAATTTCCCCTTTCAAAGAAGTATTTCCAGATAACTTTATTTAAGATGGTAACATCCTGGGCCTCCCCGGTGGCACAGCGGTTCAGTGCTGGGTTGCGAAGCTGCCCGCAGCCTCTGCAGCGACGGTTCGATCCCCGGCCATCGGGGAGGGTCCCACATGGTGTGCAGACCTCTCCTGCCACCCGCTGCTCCCCTCAGCAGTGTACTTTGATCCTTCTGCCTGTTCTGCTCTCCGCTCTGGCTCTGGTGAAGTCTTTCACCCTCCCCGCGCTTCTGACTGTACCCAGTGCTTGTATAAATAAATAAATACATCTTTAAAAAAAAAAAAAAAAAGATGGTAACATCCCCAACAGTCTTAAGTATCCCTGTTCTCTGTGTCCTCTTTCTCCATAACTCATTACTGACACTCTTTATCCTTTTTTTTTTTAAGCCCACGCAGAATATGAACACAAGAGCACAAGTATTTATTTTTGTTTCTTTCATTTCCTCAGTGGTTAGAACAGTACCTGGGACATAGTAGCTACTCAATTATAGACAATCATTTATTGAAGGTACTAAATAATAAATTTGGTTTTTGATGGGTTAGTGGCTTTTAATATGGTGATGGTTAGTTGTGGGCAATACTCAATAAATGGAAAAGCTGGGCCTCCCTGGTGGCTCAAGGGGTTAAGCACCGCACTATGAAGCAATCCTCAGCCTCTACAGCATAAGTTTGATTCCCGGCCCGCCAGGGAGCAACCCACATGGTACAGCAGACCTCTCCTGTCTTGCCTGCTGCTCCCCTCAGCAGTGTATTTCAGTCAGTCTGCCTGTTCTGTTCCCCACTCTGTCCTGGTGAATCCTTTCACGCCCCCCCCCCATCTCTGGCCTGTACCCCAGCTCTTGTATGCATGGTTAAATAAATCTTTAAAAAAAATAAATGGAAAAGCTGCACCTATTGCCCCTTACCTTCTATACAGGAGAGTAAATTCAAATAAATTTTTCTTTATGCTTCATGAAAGTTGTTTTTCATATTTGGAGTGAATTAAATAAGATTAAAGAAAATGCAAGTGTGTTTTCAGAGAGTTACAAGATTTATAAGTAACCCTCTTCTCCCTTGCCCCTCGACATTTCAGCTAAACAAAAACAAGAGCTAAATAAGATTTACAGCTTAATTTATAGAACAGAGCCAGAGAAGCAGGAAATGACAATGTGGACAAATAATTGTTTTTGAAAAAAGCACAAAACTTACTCATGATAATTACTAAGAGAGATCAAAAAGTCTTCAACAATATGGTATTTGGGCCCATTTATTTTACATTTCCATGGGACTCAGTCATAAAAATGTAATGTTCTTTCTCATTCTGGCAAATTAAACAATCAATTAAAACACTCAGATACATAAAAATTAAAGATGCAGGAATGAAGTTAATTTTCGTTTTCAGTCAACTGTTGTGTTTTTTCAAGCTCCTTATTTTTTTAGTGTCTTCTGTTAGACGGACTTTGGTTTTTAAACTGTAATTGCTCATGCTAGGCCTTGTTAAACCTTAAACTCATATCAGCCATTGGAGAATAGGAATCATACCTACTTCACTTTTTTTTTAAGCAGTGTAATTTGCAGTTTTTTTTTTTTTTAAAGATTTATTTATCCATGCATACAAGAGCTGGGGTACAGGCCAGAGGTGTGTGGGGGGGTGGTAAGAGGATTCACCAGAGACAGAGTGGGGAACAGAACAGGCAGATTGAAGTACGCTGCTGAGGGGAGCAGTGGGCAAGTCAGGAGAGGTCTGCTGCACCATGTGGGTTGCTTCCTGGCTGGCTGGAAATCGAACTTGTGCTGTAGTGGTTGCAGATTGCTTTATAGGTTGCATCTTAACCCTTGCGCCACCAGGGAGGCCCCTGAAGTTATGTTTTATTTTAATTTTATTTTTTAAAGATTTATTTATTTATTTATTTATTTATTTATTTATTTATTTATACAAGCACTGGGTACAGTCAGAAGTGTGGGAGGGTGAGAGAATTCACAGAGCTAGAGCAGGGAATAGAACAGGCAGACTGATGAAATACACAGCTGAGGGGAGCAGTAGGCGTGGCAGGAGAGATCTGTCTGGCCATGTGGGACCCTCGCTGGCAGCTGGGGATCGAACCGGCGCTGCAGAGGCCACGGGCAGCTTCGCACCCCAACGCTCAACTGCTGCACCACTGGGGAGGCCCTGAAGTTATGTTTTAATAAATGATCCCTGATGATGACCGCAAACAGTGTTGCTTATGGTAGCTTTTAGATTGCTCCAGGTAAATTCTTTCTGCTGCCCTCTGAGTCACCATTGGCATTTCCCCCTGGTATTTGGTAGTTCTTTCTAATTTTTTACTTGTCACTATGTAAAATTTTGACTTTCAGTAGAATTTGCTAAAATATTAGTCCCTGGGGCCTCCTTTGTGGCGCAAGGGGTTAAGCACAGCGCTATGAAGCTATCCAGGCCTCTGCAGCATAAGTTCAATGCCCAGCCAGTCAGGGAGATACCCACATGGTGCAGCAGACCTCTCCTGTCTTTCCCGCTGCTCCCCTCAGCAGTGTATTTCAGTAGATCTGCCTGTTCTAATACCCACTCTATTTCTGGTGAATCCTCTCACCCCCTGCACTGCTGACCTACACCCCAGTTCTTCTATGCAAAAATAAATATATAAATAAAATAACATGTGTCCTAGTAGATGGACAAATCTAGCTTTTTTCCCCAATCACTTATCCATATTGGAAACTCAAAATACAAATATGCAGTAAGTCTCAAATCTTGCCTAGTTTGTAAAGTGTGTAAAATATTTGAAACTATTTCTTAGTAAACATTTACTCTCATCAGCATCCAGAAAAGAAACATTTAAATTTCTTTTCATTTCCAACTCCTTTTCAAGCTCTTCCTTGGATAGTTGTTACCTTTTTACATATTAAGAGTTTTCATCTGTTCAAAGTTTGTGTTTGCAGTATGTTTGTAAAACTTGGCTTATAATTACCACACTGAAATATAATTATTTCAGAATTGAGTCATTGGTGAGAACGAAAGCCATCTGGTATCATCGCTAAATCCAATTTCTCTTTTATTGAGAATCTCTTTGATATATAGCTTATCTCAGGAATAGTGATTTAGTAACAAATCAGAGTTCTCTTTGTCAGATTGTTTTTCTTTTTTAAATCACATTTGGTGCTGATAATACTACTAAGATAGGTACAAGTCACCTAAGGTGAGCATTTTCCCAAGGAGCATTTAATTTTATTCTCACAAAGAACTGAAGAACTGGTAGGGGGGATAGATGACTGAGAGGAAAACTGAGGTTCAGGTGGAGTACTTGGCCTGAGATTGCTCTGCTAATAAAGAGAAAGAGAGACACAGAGAGAGAACAGGTATTAGAAATGCAGCCTTCAGGCTCATTCTAGTGCTTTTCTTTTCATTGCCCCATGATGCGTCAGAAACCCCATGATTACAAGAGTTGTGTTACCAATCCCTTCACAAGAAGTCTATTGTCCCCCAGATTTTCTTGTGATCCTATTCTAAAATGTTAAACATTTAATGAAAAGAACCACATTCCAGGTTACCTGTTCTTTGATGTCCTGCCTGAACTTTACCTAAAACCAGTTTCTAAAGCTCTTGTCCAGAATAAAAGCTATAGGTTCTCACCTGCTCAGGTTCTCAGCTACTTCTCTGACCTCTTTTACTACTATTGCTCCCCTTGGTCATTCCATTCCAGATCTTGGCCTTCTTGATATTCTCCAAAAAGCAAAATTGTTCCCTCTGCTAGAATGTTCACCCAATTGTCAAAAATCTTGTTTCCTCACATTATTCAGCTGTTCTCCTATGTTATCTTCTCAGAGGTCTTCTCAGAGACCTTCCCTGACCACCCTGTGGTCAATTATGTATCACAACTAGAATATAAATTCTATAAGGGCAGGCTTTATTTTGCTTACACCTGTATTTTCATCTCTCAAGACAGTGCTTACATGTAGCAGGTGCTCAGCAAGTCCTTGTTATATTAGTATGTGAGTTAATCTCAGAGGACCTTGAGATTTTTATGGTTAGGTAAGGATGGGAATTTGGTGATGTATTTTCTTATCTTAAAATTTTAATACTTATCTAGATTTATTTATTTTCCAAATTTTCTTTAGTGAATATTTATTACATTATTTTTATAAAGTAATCAAACCAAACATGGTGCACCTCCTGAAGTGATATAAAAGTATATAGTGTTGGGCCTCCCTGGTGGCGCAAGGAGTTAAGCACCACACTATGAAGCAATCTGCAGCCTCTGCAGCATGAGTTCGATCCCCAGCCAGCCAGGGAGCAACCCACATGGCGCAGCAGACCTCTCCTATCTCGCCAACTGCTCCCCTCAGCAGTGCTTTCAGTCCTTCTGCCTGTTCTGCTTCCCATTCTGTCTCTGGTGAATCCTCTCACCCTCCCACACCTCTGGCCTGTACGCCAGCTCTTTTTTAAATAATAAATAGTAAATCTAAATAATAAATAATAAATCTTTTATAAATAATAAATCTAGATAAATATTTTTTAAAAAGCAACAACAAAAAAAATGTTCTCAAATAGGGCCTCCCTGGTGGCACAAGGAGGGTTAAGCGCAGTACTGTGAAGCTATCTGCAGCCTCTGCAGCCCTCCCCTGCAAGCCAGGAAGCTACCCACAAGGCGCAGCAGACCTCTCCTGACTCTCCCGCTGCTCCCCTCAGCAGTGTGTTTCAGTCTGCCTGCCTTTTCTGTTCCCCGCTATCTCTGGAGAATCCTCTAACCCCACACCCCCGCCCCGTATCTCTGGCCTGTAACCCAGCTCTTGTATGCATAAATAAATAAATCTTTAAAAAAAATAAAGATGTTCTCAAATAAAGAATAACTAATATGACAGCTGGGATTAGCTATAAAATAATCTGGGCTTTGGGTGGGTGAAACAAGATTGGCTAATGAGTTGAAAATTCTTGAAACTGGGTGATAGTCCATGGAGTTCATTTTATTATTATGTGTATAAATGCTTAAAATTTTTCATATTAAGAAAATTAAAATAAAAAGGCCATCATACACAAAAGAAGTGGTGTGGGGAATCCACAAGAAATTTCTGTTTTTGTGAAATTTATTTATTTATTTTTTATAAAGCTGATTTTTTTTATAGAAGCATGTTTTATTTATTTATTTGTTTGTTTTTTGTTTATACATGCACTGGGTACAGTCAGAAGCGTGGGAGGGTGAGAGAATTCACCAGAGCCAGGCAGAGGGACCGAAGTACACTGCTGAGGGGAGCAGCGGGCGGCAGGAGAGGTCTGCGTGCCATGTGGGACCCTCCTCCGGTGGCCAGGGAGCAGCCGGGGATCGAACCGGCGCCGCAGAGGCGCGGGCAGCTTCGCAACCCAGCGCTCAACCACTGCGCCACCGGGGAGGCCCTGTTTTTGTGAAATTTAAACTCTAGTTAAGGGCCTTCCCTGATGGCACAGTGGTTGAGCGCTGGGTTGCAAAGCTGCCCACAGCCTCTCCAGCGCCAGTTCGATCCCCGGCTGCTCCCAGGCCACCGGAGGAGGGTCCCACATGGCGCACAGACCTCTCCTGCTGTCCGCTGCTGCCCTCAGCAGTGTACTTTGGTCCTTCTGCCTACTCTGCTCCCGCTCTGGCTCTGTGAATTCTCTCACCCTCCTGGGCTTCTGACTGTACCCAGTGCTATATAAATAAATAAACAAAAAAATCTTTAAAATAAATAAATAAACTCTATTAAAATATAGGATATACATCTGCAGTGACAGTTCAAAAACCTATCAGTGAATACTAATTAATGTGAAGTAGTTATCGGCTAATCTTTTAAATGCTAATGATAGTATGCAGTGTTGGAAAGATTATATTCAGCTTCTCTGTCTGGAAATTCAGTGAAGGTAAGGGTCATATTCTCTGTTGTATTTTTAGTTCCAAGCACAGCAGATTTTTAATAAATGTTGATTGAATGAATTTACAGCCTTACCTTGACTCAGATATAGAAGCTTAAATTTGAACCTCTTTGCTAAGGTGTATTTATTTTTAAATAAATTATTGAGCCTCATTTATGTTCTTTTTTTTTTTTCTCTCTTTCTAGTCTGGAGTTAATCAAAGAGCCTGTTTCCACAAAATGTGATCACATATTTTGCAAGTAAGTGTGAATGTTTTCGTTATTATTTTTATTTTATTTTTTTTAAAGACCTGGGATAGCAAGGCAATTTTTTTTTAAAGATTTATTTATTTATTTATACAAGCACTGGGTACAGTCAGAAGTGCGGGAGGGTGAGAGAATTCACCAGAGCCAGAGCGGGGAGCAGAGCAGGCAGAAGGACCGAAGTACACTGCTGAGGGGAGCAGCGGGCGGCAGGAGAGGTCTGCGCGCCATGTGGGACCCTCCTCCAGTGGCCGGGGAGCAGCCGGGGATCGAACCGGCGCTGCAGAGGCTGTGGGCAGCTTCGCAACCCAGCACTCAACCGCTGCACCACCAGGGAGGCCTTATTTTTTTTAAAAGATATTATTTTTATTCATTCATGCATATAAGAGCTGTGGTGTAGGCCACAGGTGTGGGGAGGTGAAAGGATTCACCAGAGACAGGGTGGAGAGCAGAACAGGCAGTTCTACCAAAATACATTGCTGAGGGCAGCAGTGGGTGAAACAGGAGAGGTCTGCTGTACCATGTGGGTTAGCTCCCTGGCTGAGGATCAAACCCATGCCCCATACCCCATGTTGCAGTGGCTGGCAATAGCTTGATAGTGCTAAGACTTTAACCCCTGTGCCACCAAGGAGACCCAAGTTTGAGTGTTTTATGTGATTCAGTTAGCTTTTATGCTTGTCCATCATAACACAGTAGACACTTAGCTTTATAGAAATTTTAGCTTTCTCAATTAAGTAAAAAAGAAAATTCCAACTCTTTCATTCTACCTCGAAGAGTACATAGAAAGTCATTGTATTTTGAATATAGCCATAGTTACTGGTAAAATATTGGCATGTTTGTCTAGTGGAATGTGAAGTCACTTTAAACAGCTGTTTGTTTTTTGTATCCATTGGTAAAGGCAGATTGCAAGCAATTGTGAAATAAGTAAATTGTTTATAAATTTCCCAGTTTCTTTTTGTTCATTTCTGCATATCCTTCTGAAGTCCAGTGTTTATCTGCGTCATACTCCTTGTGAAGATAGAAAAGGATCTGATCAGTTTCTACTTAGACTGACAATAAATTCTACTGATGATTCAAGTTATATTTACATATTTAAGGATATTACCCTTTGAAACACAAATTGTGTTTTTTTTTATTAATTAATTAATTAATTATACAAGCACTGGGTATAGTCAGAAGCACAGGAGGGTGAGAGAATTCACCAGAGCCAGAGCGGGGTGCAGAGCAGGCAGAAGGACCGAAGTACACTGCTAAGGGGAGCAGCGGGTGGCAGGAGAGGTCTGCACGCCATGTGGGACCCTCCTCCGGTGCCCGGGGAGCAGCCAGGGATCGAACCGGCGCAGCAGAGGCTGCGGGCAGCTTCGCAACCCAGCGCTCAACCGCTGCGCCACCGGGGAGGCCCCAAAATGTGTTTCTTGATAAAAGAACTTCAGAAAAAGTAGGGTTAGATAATCTAGTGGAGCAAGGGGATTTTCTCTTTTCCCTCATGTTAAGCTGTGATTGAGACATGCCCTGAACGATAACTAATTTATTCTTAAATATCTTTTCTTTTTAATTTAAAAAATAAGCATGTCTCTAGTGATGCTATTATTAGCACATAAGGGGCATATAATGCATAGTACATTGCCTTCTCACCCTAAATCCTTGCCCCCACTTTCTACCCTGGAAACCAAAACAATGATCAATTTCTTACGTATTCTTTCAGGAATTCTTATATTTAAGACTTCCTAACTTGGTATTCATGAATGGTTTTTGTTTGAATTTCCAAAATTATGTTCAGTTATAAGCTATGGGTGTGTTACTTTCCTGGGAAGATATTCCAACATTTCTTCAGATCTTAAGATGTTTTCATAAGCTAAAAAATGTGAAGCACTCTGCTGCATTAAGGATAGTGAAGGCTGGAGAAAGCTGACGGAAACTTGTTCCCTTGAGTGATGTCCTGTATCATTACTTGGCCAGCTGGCTGGCCCCTTCCTCTGAAGTCTACCTTAGTCTTCCCATTCTTCTATCCTTGTAAGAATACAGAAGCCCATTCCCACTGTCTTTCCCTTGTTGCTCCATTGACCTAGATCTGTTTCCATACTCAGCCCTTGCAATACAGCTTTATCTCTGCTTTGAGAATTTTTAGTTTTGTTGCCTCTAGAGAAAAGCTCAAACTCTGTCGTGTAGGATCAGTTTTTTTCACAGATAGACACTTCATTACAGGTAGCTGAAGATTAACCTTTTTTAAAAAAAAAAACAAAAAATTATTTATTTATTTATACAAGCACTGGGTACAGTCAGAAGCACGGGAGGGTGAGAGAATTCACCAGAGCCAGAGCGGGGAGCAGAGCAGGCAGAAGGACCGAAGTACACTGCTGAGGGGAGCAGCGGGCGGCAGGAGAGGTCTGCGCGCCATGTGGGACCCTCCTCCTGTGGTCGGGGAACAGCCGGGGATCGAACCGGTGCTGCAGAGGCTGTGGGCAGCTTTGCAACCCAGCGCTCAACCGCTGCGCTACCGGGGAGGCCCGAAGATTAACTTTTTAATGCTGGGACTTTCACTGTTTTCATGATGAGAATCTTTCTGAAATGTACTTTATGCTTTCCTACCTTTTTAAGTAATACATACTGTTATAGTGTGTAAAGAAGAGATTAAATTATGACCATTCATCACTTTGAGGGTTTGTGGAATAAAAAAATCACATGCAGAGGAAATAATATGAACAAAAGTGGGATGAAAAGATAGTAGGCAATGTCCATGAAAAAGAAATTAACGTTGCATATCTATATAGAAATGATATTAGAAGGGGAAGGAGCTCTCAGAGGGGAGATGACATTTGTAAAAGAGAGAAGATCCAGGGGGAGGCAGAAGGGATTGAAAATAGAAAACGGGGCCTCCCCGGTGTTACAGTGGTTGAGCGCTGGGTTGCCAAGCTGTCCGCAGCTTCTGCAGAGCCGGTTCGATCCCCGGCTGCTCCCTGGCCACCGGGGGAGGGTCCCACATGGCGCACAGACCTCTCCTGTCTCGCCCGCTGCTCCCCTCAGCAGTGTACTTCGGTCCTTCTGCCTGTTCTGCTCCCCACTCGGGCTCTGGTGAGTTCTCTCACCCTCCCGCGCTTCTGACTGTACCCAGTGCTTGTATAAATAAATAAATAAGTCTTAAAAAAAAAAAAAACAATGTTATAAAAAAAAAAAGAAAATAGAAAACGACTGCAAGAAAACAGAGAGCTCTTACTCATGAATAGTAAAGTAGGGAAAAGAGTAATTCTACAGAAAGCTTTTGAGGTGGGGGGAGGGGGCCTCCCTTGTAGCCTAGTGATTAAATCTCAGTGCAATCACCATTATGGTCTGAGTTCGATCCCGGGGCAGGGAGCTAATCCTGTTTCAGCTGCTGCTTCCCTTAGTGTATTTCAGTAAATCCTCCTGTTTTGCTCCTCACTCTGTCTCTGGTGAGTTTTCTCACCGCCATCCCCACTCTGGCCTACACCCCAGTTCTTCTATGCAAAAAAAAAAAAAAAGAGAAAGGTTTTGAGGTGGGATAGGGAAAGTGGAATCATTTGAACTCAGTGGAGATAGAGGTGAAAATATCTTCGCTTAGTCCATTTCTACTGAATTGAGAGGATTAGAGTTGAATTAGAGGAATAGAGGGAGAAAGACTTTTAACTCCTAATGTGGAGATCATAAGCAGGAACTAGCCATATTTTAAATTATGTTTTGAATGATATAGTAGAATTAAAAGTTAGTATAACACCCAGGTGATTGGTGAACTTTTTCCATGAGATCTCTTCTGTAATACTTTTATAATTGCTAAGGATAAATCAGCTTTATTGAGTGGGATAACTTACAGTTCTAAAATCTTTTATGAAATATGCAAAAAAGATAATAGCACTAGTCTGGGAAAAAATTACTTAGGCCACCTATACTTTAGTTTGCATTTTCTAGACAACAAATGAAATGTGTAATACTTTTTGTGAGCTCTAAAGCCACAATGTCCAAAGAGATATAACATGAGCCATAAATTTAACTTAAATTTTCTTGACCTTTTGTTTGGTTTCTCTCTATTCCACATATAAGTGAGACCATCTGGTATTTATCTTTTTTCTTCTTACTAATTTCAGCTCGCATAATCCCTTCTAGCTTCATCCATGTTGCTGCAAATGACATGAGTTTGTCTTTTTTGATTGTTGAGTAATATTCCATTGTATAAATATACCATAACTTTTTGATCCATTCATTGTTAGCTTTGAAATTACATATGTCTGTTTGTGTACAAGTTATGTATGGACTTATATTTTCATTTCTCTTGGGGAAACCTAGTAGTAGAATTGCTTGTTTAACATTTTGAGGATCTGTGTAATACTGTTTTCCAAAGTTGCTGCATCATTTTATTATTTCCACCAACAATGAATGAGAATTTTAATTTCTACACTTCTCCACCACTTCTTATCTGTCATTTGGATTATGGTCATCCTAATCCGTGTAAAGTGGCATCTCTTTGTGACTTTAATTTGCATTCCTTATTGACTTATAATATCAAGCATCTTTTCATATCCTTGCCCACTTTTAAATTGTGTTATAGCTCTGTTTATAAAGAGTTATTCATATATTCTGGATACAAGTCTCAATCAGGTACATGATTTGCAAATGTTTTCTCTCATTCTGTACATTGTTCTTTCCTTTCTTCGTGGTATTATTTGTAGCACAAACTTTTTTTTTAAAGATTTATTTATTTATTTATTTATTTATTTATTTATTTATTTATTTATACAAGCACTGGATACAGTCAGAAGTGCGGGAGGGTGAGAGAATTCACCAGAGTCAGAGTGGGGAACAGAACAGGCAGATTGATGAAATACACTGCTGAGGGGAGCAGCAGGCTGCAAGAGAGGTCTGCGCGCCATGTGGGACCCTCGCCTGGCGACCAGGGATTGAACTGGCACTGCAGAGGCTGCAGGCAGCTTTGCAAACCAGCGCTCAACCACTGCACCACCGGGGAGGCCCTGTAGCACAAAGTTTTTACGTTTTTGTAGTCCATTGTATCTACATTTTTCCTTTGGTTGCTTATGTAAAAATTTTAGTATTTATATAAAAAAAACACTGCTTAACCCAAGGTCACAAAGATTTATCATTTTAGCTTTTATATTTAGTTCAGTGATCCATTTTAAGTTAATTTTTCTCTGTTGTATGAATTAGGAGTCAGCTTCACTTTTTGGCATGTAGATATCTAGTTGTCCAGGACCATTTATTGATGGGACTATTGTTTTTTCCATTTGATTGTCTTAGTGCTATTGTTGAAAAACAATCATATATGTTATATGGTTTTATTTTCTGTACACTTGAATCTGTTTTATCAATGCATATGTCTGTCCTTATGGTGGTACCACATTGTCCTGATTATTGTAACTTTGTTGTGAAAATATGGTTTTTAAACTAATTATAATCATTTTACTTGAATTACTTAACATTTTTATCTGATTGTGCAGCATGGAATAATTATAAATCTATCATTAAATATGTGATATTAACTTTTTAGTAAGTTTTATTTGACCATAACAGTAAGCCATATGTATGTAGGTCGCATTTTTGTAGCTCATTGCTTATGTAGTTTGGATTTCTGCTTATGCAGCATCCAAAAACAATTAAAGAGGGTCGTTGGTTTAAATGGCATTTAGATTAAAGAGCCATCTCGTAAATGGCTCCTAAGGGCAGTTGTGTTATTATCATTTCATGCCTATTTGCCTTTTGAATAGTCTCACTTAAAAAAATTTTTTTTGAAATTTTCTTTTCATTCTTTATAATTTTAGATTTTGTATGCTGAAACTTCTCAACCAGAAGAAAGGGCCTTCACAGTGTCCCCTGTGTAAGAATGATATAACCAAAAGGTATATAATTTAGATAGTGATGGGAGGGTAGAAGCAACAACAGGAAAAAGTAGAAATTACTTAACAACATAGCTGGTGTCCTCTTCAAGCTATTCATCAGCAGAAACTAACTGACAGTAAATTATTTCTAAAGTAATTTTCCTGAAAGTTATATGGTATGTCTACCTTATATAGGCATTTGTAATTAATTGCCTTTCTGTAATGCTTCTGAATGATGCAAGAACTTAGTATTATCTAAAGTAGACCTGTACCACCCAACTATCATGGTCTCTTGGCCTTGCTTTTATTTATTTTCTTTCTTTTTTTTTTTTTTTAAAGATTTATTTATTTACGCATACAAGAGCTGGGGTACAGGCCAGAGATGCGGGGTGTGAGAAGATTCACCAGAGACAGAGTGGGGAACAGAACAGGCAGACTGACCTAAGTACACTGCTGAGGGTAGCAATGGGCATGTCAGGAGGGGTCTGCTGCATAAAGTGGATTGCTCCCTGGCCAGCCAGGAATTGAACTTGTGCTGCAGAGGTTGTGGATTGCTTCATAGTGCTTTGCTTAACCCCTTGCGCCACCAGAGAAATCCCCTTGCTTTTATTTCTTGCCTGCATTTATTTCTAAATTATTTATACACACACACATACACACACACACTCTTACACACTCTTACATATTGTGCATCCCTCCTGTCAGTATATATAAGTTCTGACTTAGTGTCAGACACTATTTTTCCAATATTTGGTACTTAATAGACCCTCAAGTATTTAAAGGAATAAATGAATGATACTCTCCTGTAGAGTAAAGATAATGAATTTTCTTTCTTTCTTTTTTAAGATTTATTTATTTATGCATACAAGAGCTGGGGTACAGGCCAGAGGTGGCAATGTGTGGGTGAGAGGATTCACCAGAGACAGAGTGGGGAACAGAACAGGCAGATCAACCGAAGTACACTGCTGAGGGGAGCAGCATGCTAGTCAGGAGAGCACTGCTGCGCCATGTGGGTAGCTCCTTGGCCAGGGATTGTACTCGTGCTGCAGAGGCTGCAGATAGCTTCATAGGTTGCATCTTTTTTTTTTTTTTTCCTTAAGAACAATTATTTCTGCAAAGATATACAATTAAATAATAGTGGTTTCTTTGCAAAAAATCACTTGAATAAAATGGATGGTAGTAGTTTGGTTTTAGTATAGGTTACATCTTAACCCCTTGTGCTACCAGGGAGGCCCAAGATAGTGAATTTTCTATGCAGTGGATTTATAGCTATTATAGATTCAGAGTACTCATATTTTAGAGAGTTGTAGGCTTTTGGTTGGCTGAATAGCAAAAAGAAAAATTGTAAAAACAATCAATACTGCCACATAGTTTATTCTGGGGTCAGTATGTTTTAATTATATGTGTAATATTTCTCCATAGCCTTGTTCTTTGAATATAGTTTTTCTACTGTTGCTACATCTTATTTTTAATCTGTTTACATGTGTCTTTAATTTAGTGTCCTTAAAAAGTTGATAATCACTTGCTATGTCTGTCTCAATTTAATTTCAGAAGCCTACAAGAAAGTACAAGATTTAGTCAACTTGTTGAAGAGCTATTAAAAATCATTCATGCTTTTGAACTTGACACAGGATTGCAGTGTAAGTATTACATAGCCCCAGAGACCAATGCTAAGTGGCTGTCCATTAAAACTCAGGAAGGTTACGTGATTATTTCCTATATTAATAGATGATAAGACCTTTTGGTCTATGTTAATTTTAGCTCTTTTGTCTGTATTCTGTTTTTCTTTTCTTTATATTTTTTTAAGATTTATTTATTTATGCATACAAGAACTGGGGTACAGGCCAGAGGTGTTGGGGTGAGAGGATTCACCAGAGACAGAGTGAGAAACAAAACAGGCAGATCTACTGAAATATACTGCTGAGGGGAGCAGCGGGAAAGACAGGAGAGGTCTGCTGTGCCATGTGGGTAGGATTGAACTTTTGCTGCAGAGGCTGTGGACAGCTTCGCAGGCTGAGTCTTAACCCCTTAAGGAAGGCCCATGTATTCTGTTTTTAAAATCACTCCCACTGTGCATCCTAAGATGCACATTATCTACATTTTAACATCTCCAAAATTGGGAGCAATTTACCGTTGATACTTTGTCATTTAATTTAGTGTGCTTGGGCCTCCCCAGGTGGCGCAGCGGTTGAGCACTGGGCTGCAAAGCTGCCTGCAGCCTCTGCAGCGCCAGTTCGATCCCCGGCTGCCGGCGAGGGTCCCACATGGTGCGCAGACCTCTCCTGCCGCGCCCGCTGCTCCCCTCAGCAGTGTATTTCATCACTCTGCCTATTCTGCTCCCCACTCTGGCTCTGGTGAATTCTCTCACCCTCCCGTGCTTCCGACTGTACCCCAGTGCTTGTATAAATAAATAAACAGATAAATAAATAATAAATCTTTAAAAAAAAAAAAAACTTAATTTAGTGTGCTTTCTTTCCTGATGTACAGAAAGTAATAAGGCACCTTACATTGTTAGTATCTTAGATTTGGTGAAATATGGCTTTAATGGGCACATTTGTTAGTATTGAGGTAGAAAAAAAGTAGAATAAATTTGAAGATCTGTGTATTTGTTTTCTAGGATAGAATTTCCAAAGTTGATTGTTAAAAATTATAGGCAGCTTTAATACATTTTCTTTTTTTCAAAGATTTATTTATTTATTTATTTATTTATTTATTTATACAAGCACTGGGTACAGTCAGAAGTGCAGGAGGGTGAGAGAATTCACCAGAGCCAGAGCGGGGAGCAGAGCAGGCAGAAGGACCGAAGTACACTGTTGAGGGGAGCAGCCGGTGGCAGGAGAGGTCTGCGCGCCATGTGGGACCCTCCTGTGGCCGAGGAGCAGCAGGGGATCGACCGGGTGCTGCAGAGGCTGTGGGCAGCTTGGCAACCCAGCGCTCAACCGCTGTGCCATCAGGGAGGCCTGATACATTTTCTTAATACAATAAAGAGCGCACATGGGATTTCTCTTGGCTGTTTGATTATGATTAATACATTTTTTCCCTAACTGCAAAGATAAAGTTTTCTTTTATAATTCACAGTTGCAAACAGTTATAACTTTTCAAAAAAAGAAAATAATTCTCCCGAACATCTGAAGGAGGAAGTTTCTATCATCCAAAGTTTGGGCTACCGAAATCGTGCCAAAAGACTTAGACAGAATGAACCTGAAAATTCTACCTTGGTAAAGCCATTTTTGTTTATTCTACTAATACCTTTTTATTAAGCATTGTGAATTAGTGAATGTGCTAGATGCTCATGGATTAAAAGTCATTAAACAAGTTAAGATGGTAAATTAAGTGATGGGACAAGTGTTATAATGCTTAAGAGTTAGAGATATTGAGAGACAGTCCTAGTGTGGGCAAGGGGTGAGTCACAGCCCTCTCCCTCCCTGGCCATTTTAGTGCTATATCCATGCATTGCTTATGTAAAATAGCCACAAGGTCACTGGTGGTTTTAAACTTGCTGATTTTTAAAATAATTGGTAATTATCCAGGCAGAAGGAAGTATCTTCTATTTTATTTCCTCTGAAAAGTTGCCAGAGGAAAAAAACAACAGTTTTTAACATTTCAAAATCACTTCAACTTAAAAGCTGAAGAAAGGCAATGATTTGCTTTGTTGTTACTTCTATGTATATTAATAATGGAGAGCTTAAAAAATAATAACTCATATGGTACCAGTATTCATTTCTCAGGAGATTTTGAAGTACTCAAAATGAAGGAAGCCTTCCTCAGAGTGATGTTGGGTTTTTAAATATTTTCTGTACTGTATTTCTTGGGAATGCTGGGTTTTTATTATTTTCATTTATCCTTTTTTAAAATTTATTTTATCTTAGTTGCCAACCTTATCAGATGTGATTGGAAATGTGCACTAATTGAATCTCATTCCCTTTATATACTATAATGTGTTATCTTCAAAATAGATTTTTTTAATACTTTCAGAAAAATTGCACACAAAGTTTTGTAAACAGGAATTCTACAAAAATTTAAAACCCAGAGAGGGAAACCACGCAAACTCATACATTCAAACCACACATTACTCATACATTTTGATGTATAGATGACACTTTTCCTGGTGTCGAAAGTTTTAACTAATTGACTGTGGTCTGTTTGTTTTATCCTCGTTCTTGAGTTTCTCTTCAAGGAAAAAAAAAGCACAGAACTAGTCAGCAATTAGTTGATCATTCTTTACTGTACTGCTTAGCAGGAATCCAGTCTTAGTGTACAACTCTCTGACCTTGGAATTGTGAGATCTCTGAGGACAAAGCAGCAGATACAGCCTCAGAAAAAGTCTGTCTACATTGAATTGGGTAAGAGTGTCCACTTTTCTTTACAATAGCCAAGATAAGGAAACAACCCAAAATCCCCAAAATAGATGAATGGATCCAAAAGTTGTGGTATATTTATACAATGGAATATTAGTGATCAAAAAAGACAAATTCATGCCATTTGCGGCAACATGGATGGAGCTGGAAGAGATTGTGCTAGCTGAAATTAGTCAGAAGGAAAAAGATAAATACTGATGGTCTCACTTATATATGGGGTATAGAGAAACCAAACAAAAAGTTGAGAAAAAGTCAAAATTGGCAAGCTGACCATAGAACTGAGGCATACAGCAAAATACGGTGTAGTAGGGATAGGAAAACAGAGAGATGAACACAAGGGAATACAGTGATTGTTCTCAGATGATGTAGTGGCAGGAAAAATAGGGGAACTACAATGATGTAAGAAAAAAATTAACTAATAAAAAAGATGTATGATTTTCTAAGTTTAGATTAATAGCTGCCAAATTCTTTGTCTTGCAGTTTTATCCAAAACCAGTCATAATTTATAAATAAGGTAGGGAATATTGGGAAGTGAAAACAAAATAATTTTACTAGCCTTGTGGGGTGTTGTAAATAATGTGATAGATGTAGCTCTCACCCTGAAGAAGCATGCTTTTTAAAGAGCAAAATAAAAGCTATTTGGTTTTTTTTTTTTTTTTTTGAAGATTTATTTATTTATTTATACAAGCGCTGGGTACAGTCAGAAGCGCGGGAGGGTGAGAGAATTCACCAGAGCCAGAGCGGGGAGCAGAGCAGGCAGAAGGACCGAAGTACACTGCTGAGGGGAGCAGCGGGCGGCAGGAGAGGTCTGCGCGCCATGTGGGACCCTCCTCTGGTGGCCGGGGAGCAGCCGGGGATTGAACCGGCGCCTCAGAGGCTGCGGGCAGCTTCGCAACCCAGCGCTCAACCGCTGCGCCACCGGGGAGGCCCAAAGCTATTTGGTTTTAAGTATGTGTAAATATACTTTGAAAAATGGAGAGTTGTAATAAGAAAAAACATGATGGGTTGTTTACAGCATTTAGAGGGATCTAAAGTAAACTCTACGAGACTAGAAAGACTTCCAAGAAATGCTGAGCTCAGTTAAACAGGTCTCCAATTTAACTGTCTTACCTTTTAGAATATATTTATAGTTAGAGTGACTCTTAATGATGATGTATTTTACCATCATACTTAGCAGATTTTCTTGAAATTCCTTGTGTTTCTTTCCCTCAATTAAGATCAGAAGTTTCTAGACAATGTTGTGTCATAAAAGTAATCAAAACACTGTAATAGTTAATATTTTGAAGCACTTACTGTTTTCTCCAGGCATTGTTGTGTTTTATTGGTATAACTCATTTAAGATGCATAAAAACTTCCGAGGTTGTTACTATTATTATACTTTTTACAGATGAGGAAATTAAGGCATAGAGAAATTAAGAAATTTTGCCAAGGTCGTAAAGCTTGTAAGTTCAGAGCAATGAGTTAAACCTAAGAAGTCTGGTGTCAGAGCCTGTACTGAAACCTGCATTTCTCTGTAGCGCTCATATTTGTCAGTATGTCTGCTATATATATGGGTACTCAATAAATATTTCTTGAATGAATATCTGTTTAGCAGCAAGTACAACTCTTGCAATAAAAGTCCTGTTTACTAATTTGTTATTGGGGGAATTTTTTAGGATCTGATTCTTCTGAAGATACAGTTAATAAAGCAAGTTACTGCAGGTGAGTTAAAAAGAGACTTTATCTATGAAGCTGGCCTTGTTGTGTTTAGATATTATTAAGAATTGGTATTGCTTTAGGTTAGAGTCATGCCATTGGAATTGTCCTTGAAGATCATCTACTTTAACCTCACTTATGGCGAAGAAAATAACCTTTTGGTTGTTTGATTTCTTAGTATTGTCTGAAAGTTTAATATAACAACTCTGCACAGACTTGCTTGCAGTAGGTTCTCTGGCTTAGTTCCTCGTGTTCAGTAGTATTGACACAGTGATAAATTATGATTGGTGAAAATATCAGAGGACTCCATGTTCAACTCTCCTTTGTTCCTTAATTCCATATAGCCCTCAGACTTTGCCTGTGTATATTAAACAGTAACCATTAGGAGTTATTTTTTTAATTTTTTTAAAGGTTTATTTATTTATGCATATAATAGCTGGGGTACAGGCCAGAGATGCAGGGGTGAGAGGATTCACCAGAGACAGAGTAGGGAATAGAACAGGCAGATTGACCAAAGTACACTGCTAAGGGGAACAGCGGGCGAGTCAGGAGAGGTCTGCTGCGCCATGTGGGTTGCTCCCTGGCTGGCTGGGGGATCAAACTCCTGCTGCAGAGGCTGCGGATTGCTTCATAGTGCAGTGTTTAACCTCTTGTGCCACCAGAGAGGCCCAGGAGTTATTTCTTGACCCTAGAAAAGATCTCTGATGACTTGTCTGAACTAAGATGGTGTCATTCCCAATCACATTTTGTTTTCAAGCAACTTTTCCCTAAACTCTCTTTTGGGAGGAAATGGGTATTAGCCTGAAAAGAATCACAGAAGGCAGTGTGACCTCTAGGTATATTCTTTGCCTTCTATTGGAATGTCTGCTCCATCCCAGTATACCCTTTGTTTAGATAGCTTTTGCTCCTACCTTCTCATTAAACTATGCTTTTAAATTTTGTTGTTTATTTCTTACTATCTTTTGACTAATATTTGGCTGTCATTTAAATATTGACTCATTTGCATGGCCATGAGACAATGTTCTACACTACTTCTCTAATTTCCATGACCGTCAGTCTTTGATCATTCCATTTTGACTAGACACTAGTGAAAGAAAGAACAGATTTCAAAAAGTGAATCAGATGAGTCAACCTGCTGAAACTCCACCTAGAGGAACTAACATACTTGATGTTACTCATTTGATAGTTCTGTAAGCATGATTGGTGCGACTCACTAAGGCTTCTGTCTTTTCCCTATAGTATGGGAGACCACGAATTGTCACAAATCACCCCTCAAGGAGCCAGGGTGGAAGCCAGTGTGAATTCTGCAAAAAAGGGTAATGGCAAGTCTTCCCAAATTAACGGACACTGAAGAGAGCATGGGTACATACAGCACTATAATCACTTTATTGTGAAGGCCATTTGGGACATTTATAATTTACGTCTCTTGGCAGAATTAGCATATTGTTCAATCTGATATTTAAATGATACTAGATGGGTGTGATTATAATAGTTTCCTATGTAATTTGTTGTTGCCTTTTAGTTGTGAATGTGTTTGCATACTGATTTGTAAGTATAGGGACTATGAATCTGAAGATAGAACAGAGCACTGTATATCTTATGCCCAATCTGGTTTTTTTTTTTTTTTTTTAAAGATTTATTTATTTATGCATACATGAACTGGGGTACAAGCCAGAGATGTGGAGGGTGAGAGGATTCACCAGAGACAGAGTGGGAAACAGAACAGGCAAACTGACTGAAATACACTGCTGAGGGGAGCAGTGGGCGAGGCAGGAGAGGTCTGCTGCGCCATGTGGGTTGCTCCCTGGCTGGCCAGGGATCTAACTCGTGCTGCAGAGGCTCCAGATTGCTTCATAGTGTGGTGCTTAACCCCTTGTGCCACCAGGGAGGCCCCCAATCTGCTTTTAATTCACTGTTTAGAGGCCAGGGAAATCGGAGGTGTGGTTTATAAAAAGGGAGAATTCCAAAATTATGATTTCATTGTGAAGATAGACTAGAGAAATTGTAATTAAGTGAAAGAGTATGTGCTACATTGTTAGTATATTTGTACTTTATGAGGTTAGTTTCACTAAAAGTTTCACTAAAAGTTGATTCATTTCCACCCCCAAGTTGTATTCATATCTTTTCATGGTAATTCAGTTTTTAAACACCTTATTTTTGTTTACTTTCAGGTGCTTGTGAGTTTTCTGAGAAGGATTTAACCAATATCGAACATCATCAATCCAGTAATAAAGATTTCACCACCACTGAGAGGCATGCAACTGAGAAGCATCCAGAAAAGTATCAGGGTATTTCTGTTTCAAACTTGCATGCAAAACCATGTGGCACAAATACTCATGCCAGCTTATTACAACATGAGAACAGCAGTTTATTACTCACTGAAGACAGAATGAATGTAGAAAAGGCTGAATTCTGTAATAAAAGCAAACAGCCTGACTTAGCAAGGAGCCAACAGAACAGATGGGCTGAAAGTAAAGAAACATGTAATGATAGGCAGACTCCCAGCACAGAGAAAAGGGTAGGCCTGACTGCTGATCCCACGTGTGGGAGAAAAGAACCGAATAAGCAGAATCCTCCATGCTCTGACAGCCCCAGAAATTCCCAAGGTGTTGCCTGGATAACACTGAACAGTAGCATTCAGAAAGTTAATGAGTGGTTTTCCAGAGGTGATGAAATGTTAACTTCTGATGACTCATGTGATGGGGGGTCCGAATCCAATGTTGAAATGACTGGTGCAGTAGAAGTTCCAAATGCAGTGGATGGATTTTCTGGTTCTTCAGAGAAAATAGACTTAATGGCCAGTGATCCTCCTGCTTTAATGTGCAAAAGTGAAAGAGTATACACTAAACCAGTAGAAAGTAATATTGAAGATAAGATATTTGGGAAAACCTATCGGAGGAAAACAAGCCTCCCCAATTTGAGCCATGTGACTGAAGGTTTAATTAGAGCGACGTCTGCCACAGAACCTCAGATAGCTCAAGAGCGTCCCTTCACAAATAAATTAAAACGTAAAAGGAGAACTACACCAGGCTTTTGTCCTGAGGATTTTATCAACAAAGTAGATTTGGCAGTTGTTCAGAACACTCCTGAAAAGATAAGTGAGAGACCTGACCAAATGGATCAGAATGGCCAAGTGGTGGGTATTACTTATAATGCTCATGGGAATGAAACAAAACGTGATTATGCTCAAAAAGAGAAAAGTGCTAAGCTGACCAACTCACCAGAAAAAGAATCTTTCAGCATTAAAGCTGAACCCATAAGTAGCAGTATAAGCAATATGGAACTAGAATTAAATAGCCATACTTCAAAAGCACCTAAGAAGAACCGGCTGAGAAGGAAATCCTCTACAAAGCATATTCATGCACTCGAACTAGTGGTCAAAAGAAATCCAAGCCCTCCTAATCATACAGAACTACAAATTGATAGCTGTTCTAGCAGTGAAGAGATGAAGGGAAAAAATTCCAGCCAAATGCCAGTAAGACACATCAAAAGGCTTCAACTTATGGAAGAGAAAGACCCTGCAACTGGAGCCAAGAGTAACAAGCCAAAAGAACAAATTAAAAGATTTGCCAGTGACACTTTGCCAGAACTAAATTCAACAAGCATACCTGGTTTTCTTAGCAATAGTTCAAGTTCTAATAAACCTGAAGAGTTTTCCACTCCTAGCCTTCAAAGAGAAGAACTAGAAGAGAACCTCAGAACAAATCAAGTGTCTGATAGTACCAAAGATCTGCTATTTAGTGGACAAAGAAGTTTGCAAACTGAAAGATCTGAAGAGAGTACCAATATTTCATTGGTACCTGAGACTGATTTTGGCAGTCAGGATAGTATCTCACTACTGGAAACTGATATCCTAGGGAAGGCAAAAAAAGCACCAAATCAGTGCTCAAGTCTGTGTACAACAATTGAAAATGCCAAGGAATTTATTCATAGTTGTTCTAAAGATACTAGAAATGACGCACAGGGTTATAAGGATCCACTGAGATACGAAGTTAGCCATACTCAGGAGACAAGCATAGAAATAGAAGAGAATGAACTTGATACGCAGTATTTACAGACCACCTTCAAAGTTTCAAAGCGTCAATCATTTGCTCTGTCTTCAAATCCAGGGAATTCAGAAAAGAAATATCCCCCAGACTCTACCCCTTCCAGGCCCTTAAGGAGACAAAATCCAAAATTCGCTCTGGAATGTGAACTGAAAGAAGAAAATCAGGGAAAGAAAGAGTCTAAAACCGAGCATGTGCAGGCAGTACATACATTTGCAGACTTTACTTTGGCTTATCAGAAAGATAAGCCATGTGATTCTGCCAAATGTAGCGTAAAAGGAGTCTCTAGGCTTTGTCAGTCATCTCAGTTCAAAGGCAATGAAACAGAAATCATTATTGCAAATAAACATTTAATTTTACAAAACCCATATCTTATACCACCACTTTCTCCCGTTAGGTCATCTGTTAAAGCTACATATAAGAAAAACCTGACAGAGGAAAAGTTTGAGGAACATTCATGGTCACCCGAAAGAGCAACAGGAAATGGGAGCGTCATTCAAAGTACAGTGAGCATGGTTAGCAAAAATAACAATAGAGAAAACACTTTTAAAGAAGTCAGCTCAAGTAGTATTAATGAAGTAGGTTCCAGTACTAATGAAGCTGGCTCTAGTGTTAATGAAGTAGGTTCCAGTGGTGAAAATATTCAAGCTGAACTAGGTAGAAGCAGAGGACCTAAGTTAAATGCCATGCTAAGATCAGGTCTTATGCAACCTGAAGTCTATAAGCAAAGTCTTCCTATAAGTACTTGTAAACATCCTGAAACTGAAAGACAAGGAGAAGATGAAGGCATAGTTCAGGTTGTTAATACAGATTTCTCTCCATGTCTGATTTCAGATGACCTAGAACAACCTATAGAAAATAGTCATGCTTCTCAGGTTTGTTCTGAGACGCCTGAGGACCTGTTAAATGACAAAATAAAGGAAAATGATAACAGCTTTGCTGACAGTGGCATTAAGGAAAGATCTGCTGTTTTTAGCAAAAGTTTCCAGAAAGAATTCAGAAGCCCTAGCCTTTTAGACCATACATGTTTGGCTCAGGACCATGGAAGAGGGAAATTGGAGTCCCCAGAAGAGGATATGTCTAGTGAGGATGAAGAGCTTCCCTGCTTCCAACACTTAGTATTTGGTAATGTAGCCAATATACCTTCTCAGTCTCCCAGAGATCCTGCCACAGGGGGTTTATCTACAAAAACAGAAGAGAGCCTAATGTCATTGAAGAATACTCATGGCAGTAACCAAGTTACATTGGCAAAGGCATCCCAGAAACATCACCTTAATGAAGAAGGAAAATTTTCCAGTAGCTTATTTTCTTCACAGTGCAGTGTATTAGAAGACTTGAATGCTAATACAAGCTCTCTGGATCCTTTCTCAATGTTTGATCCTCCCTCCAAACAATCGAGGCATCAGTCTGAAAATGAAGAAGTTCTGAGTGATAGGGCGTTGGCTTCAGATGATGATGAAAGGGAAACTGACCTGGAAGAAGATAATTACCAAGAAGAGCAGAGTATGGATTCAAACTTAGGTATTGCCATCAGGTTTTTGTGTTTGTCCCAGTCTAGTCTATAGAAATTTGCTAAATGTTTAATGCCTTTTGGGGAGCATATTCTATGAGTTTCCAATATGATTAAAGTAACTGCTTCCTTTGCTTCTAGATGGAGTAAAAGTACTGAATTGTAAACCTTGGAAGTAGGATACAGATTACATAGACGGAAGCTAAAAGGTTACAGTATTTTGGGCCTCCCTGGTGATGCAGGGGTTAAAGTCTCAGCGCTGTCAAGCTATCCTAGCCACTGTGGCATGAATTCCATCGCCACCAGGGAGCTAACCCACATGGTGCAGCAGACTTCTCATCTCTCCTGTCTTGCCTGCTGCTCCCCTCAGCAGTGTATTTCACTGTTCACCTGTTATGCTCCCCACTATATGTCTCTGGTGAATCTTCTCACCCACTCCTGCACTTCTGGCATAGACCCCAGTTCTTGTATGCATAAATAATAAAATCTTTTTTTTTAAAAGTTACAGTATTTCAAGATCTTTCTGTATTGAGACTAGTAAGTCCTGTTCCACTGGTGTCTACCAATTCTGACTGAATGACTAGTTCTCTTCAGTCTCATATATACATTAATTCATCAAAGTGTAACCACTGGGGCCAAACACAAAATTAACTAAAGCTTTAAACATGTTTCTCCTAAGGTGCTTATCCTTGAAAGTCCTTTGCCAGCAGGAATATCTTCTCTGTTAGAATGAGATTTAATGTGCTGATTGGTAGTGGACTTGCTTTTGATTTTTGTTAGGATTTCTCAGAGGAAGTCTGAGTGTCCCAATACAAGGAATGTAATCATATTTGCTCTGTTTTTACATCTGAATCTCTTATCATTTAAGGTGAAGCAGCATCTGTGTATGTGAATGAAACAAGTCTCTCTGAAGATGGTTCAAGACTGTCCTCTCAGAGCGATATTTTAACCACTCAGGTAAAAATCTTGCATAACTGTGTGCACAGTGCTCTCTGCATTCAGTAGTGTGCACTGAAATTCTTTTTTTTGTTTTTTAAGATTTATTTTTTTTTTTTTTTTTTTTTTTTTTTTTATAGAGGCATGCTTTATTTATTTGTTTTGCTGGTTTCTTTGTTTGTTTTGTTTATACATGCACTGGGTACAGTCAGAAGCGCGGGAGGGTGAGAGAATTCACCAGAGCCAGAGCGGGGAGCAGAGCAGGCAGAAGGACCGAAGTACACTGCTGAGGGGAGCAGCGGGCGGCAGGAGAGGTCTGCGCGCCATGTGGGACCCTCCTCTGGTGGCCGGGGAGCAGCCGGGGATCGAACCGGCGCCGCAGAGGCCGCGCGCAGCTTCGCAACCCAGCGCTCAACCGCTGCGCCACCGGGGAGGCCCTTAAGATTTATTTTTATTTATGCATACAAGAGCTGGGGTACAGGCCAGAAGTGCAGACAAAGCGGGGAACAGAACAGGCAGATTGACTGAAGTACACTGCTGAGGGAGCTGCGGGCAAGTCAGGAGAGGTCTACTTCGCCATGTGGGTTGCTCCCTGGCCACCCAGGGATCGAACTTGTGCTGCAGTGGCTGCAGATTGCTTCATAGGTTGTGTCTTAACCCCTTGCACCACCAGGGAGGCCCTGCACTAACATTCTTACATTCACTTAGATCATCTCTAGAGTTGGTGTAACTGTTGTATGTGGTACTTTGTCTCCTCAAATTATTGGATTGTAAGCTTCCTGATGGAACTCATGCTACTTTTTATTTCATATACACAAGCTAACTCACTGCAGAACACTGAATACTAAATTTAATAAATAAGTTAAACCTTCAGAAGTCTCTTGCCCTAAAGCAAAAACATGTATGAAAACACTTCTGTATCAAAGAGTGGGGTCTGTTTATTCTCAGTACCAAATTAGAGTCTACAAGTTTCTTTTCTTATCTGAGATTTTCTAGCCTTTCACTCTTTTGTGGATTTTTTTTCCTTTTTTAATCCAGTAGTTGTTTGTTCTTTAGTGTTTATGTCATCTTTTCTCTGAACGAGAAAAAAGAAAGTACACAGTTTTACTTCTTGTATCTGGTGGTCAAGGCCAATATTTTGTTACTTATGAAGGAAGTAATAGCTTTGTCACTTGTACGATGTTTGGTAAAGTGAATATTTTGAATGGTTTCCTAGAAAAATTATCACAGCATTTCAAAATTTGCATCTTCTTCACAAAACCTGGCTCTGTCTGCTAATTTTTATTTTGTAATGTGGCACCAAAATTTTCCAAGTCTCATAGAATTCAGGCTCATCTCAGCTTATTTTTTCAGACTAGCACACAATAATTGCTAGTGGTAAAACTGGTAGACGTTCTTTAGCTGGCTGGTGACTCTAGGCAATTTGATTACCTTCTCTGAACTTAAGTATGCATTCTTAAAATGAAGGTATTTGAACTGTCTTTTAAATCTTTATTTTTAATGTCTAATACTTTACATTATTATAAATTACAAAATTGTATTAAGTTGCATATTTTATAAAATATATTTATTTCACCTGCCATGCTCTAATCAGTTAGTCTTGTTACGAAGACAATCATTTTGTCATTGCTTCTTTTTCTCATTTAAACTTTAAATATGCCTTTAGGGGCCTCCCCAGTGGCGCAGCGGTTGAGTGCTGGGTTGCGAAGCTGCCCGCGGCCTCTGCGGCTCCGGTTCGATCCCCAGCTGCTCCCCGGCCACCGGAGGAGCCGCCCGCTGCTCCCCTCAGCAGTGTACTTCGGTCTTTCTGCCTGCTCTGCTCCCCGCTCTGGCTCTGGTGAATTCTCTCACCCTCCCGTGCTTCTGACTGTACCCAGTGCATGTATAAACAAACAAAACAAACAAACAAACAAATAAATAAATAAATAAACATGCCTCTATTAAAATAAATAAATAAATAAATAAATATGCCTTTAGCTGCCAGCAAGTGAGTGACAAATTTTTTTTTTTAATTTCCTGGAGTTCCAGAATAGTTAAATCTGAGAAAAGTCAAATAGTGTTGTTACATTACATGCATACATCATTGAAGACTTAGAAAATACAAATGAACAGAAGCCATTTGTGTATCAAGTTTGAAAACATTACGTGAATCAGACACCAAAAGACAGATACTGTGTGAACTAGTGAAGGGGTCATCTTTTTGATAGTAGGAGAGTATTTTTGGTAGAGACTTATAAAGTAGGCATTCAAACTGGCCTTGAAAGATGAGAAGAATTAGGCCTCCCCTGGTGGCGCAGCAGTTGAGCGCTGGGCTGCGAAGGTGCCTGCAGCCACCGCGAGGGTCCCACATGGCGCGCAGACCTCTCCTGCTGCGTCCACTACTCCCCTCAGCAGTGTATCTCATCTGTCTGCCTGCTCTGCTCCCCGCTCTGGCTCTGGTGAATTCTCTCACCCTCCCACACTTCTGACTGTACCCAGTGCTTGTATAAATAAATAAATAAATCTTTTAAAAAAAAAAAAAAGAAAGATGAGAAGAATTTTTCCAGGTAGAGGAGAAAGGAGACAGCAATTGAGGCAGACACAGAGGCATGAAATGCCCAGAAAGTACAAAGTTGTCCTGGGTGGTGTGTGAAAGGTCTTTTTAATGTTCTGTTGAGGAATTTGGACTTTATCTTGAGGGACATAGTAATAATTATATAGTGTTCAGATAGCACTGACTTATTTTTCAAGTAGTCTTGTACCTTATAGAGGAAAGATGATAAATGTGGCTTTTAGGGAATTTCCACAATAATATTAAAATATTAAAAGTAGAGATCAGAGTTAGCATAGTGGGAATAGAAGAGTAGGGCAAATTTGAGGATCACTTAAGAATTAGAATGAGGGCCTACCTGGTGGCGCAGCGGTTGAGCACTGGGTTGCGAAGCTGCCCGCAGCCTCTGCAGCGCCGGTTCGATCCTCAGCTGCCGAGCGAGGATTCCACATGGCGCGCAGACCTCTCCTGCCGCCCGCTGCTCCCCTCAGCAGTGTACTTCAGTCCTTCTGCCTGTTCTGCTCCCTGCTTTAGCTCTGGTGAATTCTCTCACCCTCCCGCGCTTCTGACTGTACCCAGTTCTTGTATAAGTAAATAAATAAAAAAACAAACAAAAAAACCCCACAAAAACTATTAAAAAAGAAAAAAAGAATTAGAATGAAGGGGCCTCCCCAGTGGATCAGTGTGTTGAGTACAGCACTGTAAAGCTATCTGCAGCCTCTGCAGCGCGGGTTCAATTTCCGGCCAGCCAGGGAGATTCCCAGATGGTGCGGCAAGCAGACCTCTCCTGTTGCGCCCGCTGCTCCCCTCAGCAGTGCTTTCGGCCTGTCTGCCTGTCCTGCTCCCTGCTCTGTCTCTGGTGAATCCTCTCACCCTCCTGTGCTTCTGGCCTGTACCCCAGCTATTGTATAAATAAAAAATAAATCTAAAAAAAAAAAAGAATTAGAATGAAGACTTAGAAACTAATTTGGTTTTGATCTCCCAAATGTATTTGACCACTTGCCTATAGGAGAATTTGTCTACATTATAAGGTAACTCCTTTGAGAAAACCCAAAGGAAATTTACCTAACTACAATCCCCGTTACTATTTTTTTTCTCACTACTAACCTACTTAAGGTAGTAACAGCTTCTGAAGTTTATCTGTTATCTGTGTGTGGTTCATTCCGGATTTACTGAGGCCAGCCCTTGACTCAAGCTTGATCAGTGATGAAACTACTCACAAGCACCACGTGGTGGCAATGGCGCTGCTGCAGACATTGTCAGTGAAACAGTCTCAGGGTAGCAGTGAAAGCCTTTGTGAAGCTGGGAATACATTTCCTGATCATAAAACCTCCTGAAAACTATGAACTCAGTGTAGCAGGAGAAAGTAGATGGCTTGTTTTCAGTAGAGAGCAAAATCATTTTCAAGGCTTAAGAAGAAACAGAGGGTGAAACAATCTGTTTGTCCCTGGGGTTTGCTCATGGCCATTGATGTATATTTAGAAATGTATATTTAGAAATCTCCTTACTTACCAAATTCTTTGCTTACCAAAAATCTTAGCAGATATCTTCATGAAATGGAGTAATAAACATCAGGTGACCCATAAACAAGAAGAGCTCATTATCTTGAATCGAAAACAGTAACTGCCCTTACAGGGTTTTCTCCAGGAATTTTCTATTGGATTCTTCCCTCTGGCAGGTCCTCCTCTATAATGAGCTCCAGGTACCCTGTCCCATTCTAGAATACAGCAGTATGAGGACTCTACTCCCAGCAGTAGGACACCATGGCAAGTAATAGATGGTCAACAAATGTTTGTTGAATGAACCAATATATACGTTAATGAATTAGCTCTGTGCTCTACCTGTTAGAAACTAAAAGTTCGGAGGACCCCAAGCCAGTAATCAAAGCAGGATTACTGACTGTGTTGTTCTATAACACCATAGGAAGGAGACATTCTTAACATTACATCATTCTAAAAATCACACATTTTTGTATGACTAATCCAAATCTCTTAAAAGAGTACCACTATACCAAATCTTTGGAGACACAGCCTGTGTAAAATGTTAACAAAATCGTGCTAATTTTAAATACCAAAAGTACTTAAGTACCTTGATTCTTTTTTCACTTCCTAGCTTTATTAAAACCAAAATCAAAGGGCTGTCACAATACAGCAAGTCTATTTGGGAGAGTTTAAGGATTTTTCCTCCTCCCAACTTCATTCTAAAATAATTTCATGGGCATTTATTGCATGAATATGGTTGGATTAAAAGGTGATCAGCCAGAACTCATAATTCCATAGTAGGTGATTTCAGTTCCCATGCAAAAATTAATTGGTGTGACATATTCTTCCTCTGTAACTTTCTTGGTATCACTTATTGTTTTTGTAGCAGAGGGATACCATGCAGGATAACCTGATAAAGCTCCAGCAGGAAATGGCTGAACTGGAAGCTGTGTTGGAGCAGCATGGGAGTCAGCCTTCTACCAGCTCCCCATCCCTCACAGCCGCCTCTTGTGCCCCTGAAGACCTGCTAAATCTGGAACAAAACACAGCAGAGAAAGGTTTGTAATATTGGCCAAACTTAAGCAAAATTCTTCCCATTGCCAAGCCTCTATTTCCTTCTGAAAAGTGTGGACCAAGCTTCAACACTTTATGATCTTTGCTTAGCATGTATTTACTGAGTCACTTGTGGATAATTTTAGAGCCTTGGTTTGAGTCCCAGCTCACAAATAATATACCATTCAGAAAGACCCAAGATAGTCATTCAGTGTCATTGTCTGACTGAGTCATCCGCAATGAGGAGATGTTACGGGGAGCCCATAAGAAGCTGAAAAAGCCAAATGGGGTGGGGGAATTGGGAATAGTTTACCCCATAATTTTAGAAAGCTTATAAAAAACCACTCAGACATATTCCTTATAACACTGGTATCACAAAGCTTCTTCGATGTAATTACTGATTTATAGGGAGAGGTGTTCTACAATTCAGGAACTGTGCTTCGATACACAGAAAAATCAATTTTGAAGGTGCTTTAACATAATATAATAGTTATCAACAAGGCCATATGGAGAGAAGGGGAACTTGTCAGAGGGAACTTGCTATAAGAAGTGAGCTTTGATTTGAGGAATAACATGGCTTAAATAAAGGAAAGTGAGGTGAGATTTTGAGTTTTTAATTGGAAAGGGCCTTATGATATACAACACAATAGGCAGGTTTTTAAATAGTGGCAAATACTTAGACACCGAAACAAGAGGCTAGACACAGGCATGGGTTCCAGAATGGCAGGTGACACTTAGGAATAAGCAGGTGTGGTAAGTCCTGCCAATGTCCTTCACTATGATCAGTGATACCCAACTAACTTAGTGTTAAAACCCCTTCCATGTCACTCTCTGCCCGAGTCCTCCAGAGGGCCTGAGGGCCTTCCTTTGAGTTTTCCTAAGAACCCATGTCTTAATTATTCAGTGTGGTGGCCTTGGTCCAAGAACATGCCTTCCAGTATTTTTATCTTCAGGAGAAACAGTAGTTCCTTCATTGGGGAATGGAGATATTAAACACAAAGATGAGACAGCAAATTTACACGGCTGTTCGCATCCTCTAAAGTGCGGGTTCGATCCCAGCCAGCCATGCCGGGGAGATACCCACATGGTGTGGCAGATCTCTCCTATCTCACCCGCTGCTTCCCTCAGCAGTGTATTTCAGTCAGTCTGCTTGTTCTGCTACCCACTCTGTCTCTGGTGAATCCTCTCACCCTCCCGCATATCTGGCCTGTACCCTGGTTCTTGTATGTATAAAAAAATAAATATTTTTTTAAAAAAGAATATAACATTAATTTAAAAAAAATTTTTTTTTTTAAATCAAATTTCAATGGAATATAATATATTAAAACCCCCTGATGAGGGAATGTTTTAAAGGGTCCTGCCTTACTTACTGTTCTAGTATTTGGCCTCTGGGTCTCTGGAGTTATGAAATATAGATTAAGAAAAAAAAAAAAGACTGGTAATGTTTTGCACTGAGGTTTTTAGGCTGTTATTGACTTCTAATTTAGATTAATTTATTTTCTTCATAGCTTGAGCCCCATTATTTTTTTTTTTTTTAATAGAGGCATGTTTTTATTTATTTATTTATTTTTTATTTGTTTGTTTGTTTATACATGCACTGGGTACAGTCAGAAGCGCGGGAAGGTGAGAGAATTCACCAGAGCCAGAGCGGGGAGCAGAGCAGGCAGAAAGACCGAAGTACACTGCTGAGGGGAGCAGCGGGCGGCAGGAGAGGTCTGGGCTCCATGTGGGACCCTCCTCCGGTGGCCGGGAAGCACCCGGGGATCGAACCGGAGCCACAGAGGCTGCTGGCAGCTTTGCAACCCAGCGCTCAACCGCTGCGCCACCGGGGAGGCTCGCTTGAGCCCCATTATAATGGAAAAGCAACTCATAGGCTGAATGTTGGGTGTGGAGATAGAATAACTGGTTTTGGTGCTTGTGTCTTCCTCCCTTTTTTCCCCTTTAAATCCTTTCCAATTGTTTATCTCCAGGATGACTCCTTACTGACTGCGTATTACTTCTCATCAATGATCACCCTATATTTGGGGGGAGTTGATACCTATATTAAAAAGTTGTATATGCCCAGCTGAAAGAAAAACCTGATTCATGGTTAAATTCTCTTTACTTTCAGCAGCTTATAGCTCCAGGCAGAATACTTGTGTTCCTAGAAACTTACAGATCCAGAAAAGATGAGCATAAAGGAAATTATAAATAATGCATTTGAGGATTAACTCAGGAAATCAATGATTATTTTCCCCAGGCTTCCCAGTGTGTTCCCCCCCAAGAAGAAAGGCAGTTTAATTAAGATAGTCTGTTGCTTACAGTTTTCTGCTTCCCTTTATGAATTTTCACTTTTCTAATAAAAGCTCAAAAATCGTAATCATCAATGACTTTCTAATGGGTACAAGGCATTTATAATATTTCATATATTTGTCCTTGCTTTTTAAATATTTCTACCTTTAAGCCACTTTGTAGGAAACAGTGGCACGATAATGCTTTTGGAGGAATTAATAAATAAAAAGGATGTACTAACATGCCAGAACTTTGCCCTGGGTCTGTTTTGTGTCTTTTCCCTTCTCATGCCATTTTTTTTTTTTAATAATTTTTTTTTAAATTTTTTTTTATAGAGGCGTGTTTTATTTATTTATTTATTTTATTTGTTTGTTTATACATGCACTGGGTACAGTCAGAAGCGCGGGAGGGTGAGAGAATTCACCAGAGCCAGAGCGGGGAGCAGAGCAGGCAGAAGGACCGAAGCACACTGCTGAGGGGATCAGCGGGCGGCAGGAGAGGTCTGCGCCCCACGTGGGATCCTCCTCCGGTGGCCGGGGAGCAGCCGGGGATCGAACCGGCGCCGCAGAGGGCGCGGGCAGCTTCGCAACCCAGCGCTCAACCGCTGCGCCACCGAGGAGGCCCTTCTCATGCCATTTTTATCATTAGTTCAGTGTGTTACTCCAAGGCCCCTTATCAGTCAACACCTTGGTTTTTTGGTATTTTTTTTTAAATAATTGAAAATATAAAGCAAAATGTCACCTGTTTTTTCCTTTCTCATCTGATGCATCCTTGTTTCCCTACACATGCAAAAGCTCAAGGGGGCCTCCCCGGTGGCGCAGCGGTTGAGCGCTGGGTTGCGAAGCTGCCCGCGGCCTCTGCGGCGCCGGTTCGATCCCCGGCTGCTCCCCGGCCACCGGCGGAGGATCCCACATGGCGCGCAGACCTCTCCTGCTGCCCGCTGCTCCCCTCAGCAGTGTACTTCGGTCCTTCTGCCTGCTCTGCTCCCCGCTCTGGCTCTGGTGAATTCTGTCACCCTCCTGCGCTTCTGACTGTACCCAGTGCATGTATAAACAAAACAAACAAACAAACAAAATAAATAAATAAAACATGCCTCTATTAAAAACAAAAATAAAAATAAAATGCATTTTAAAAAAAAAAAAAAAAAAAAAGCTCAAACCCCCATCCTTTATAGTCTTATTGTGGAAGTGATGGGATGGAAAATGATATATGCTTTATGGTTTCCACTACTTTCTCTTTCCTATTATCTAAGGGTATTTGAGTATAATTTAGTTTGCTGTAGAGATAAAAATTCATTTTCTATCCTTGTTTCCTTATCATTCAGGGCCAAAAAATATAAATATATGTTTTTTTCAACCTTGTCTCAGCTGGGTACCTCTTTATCAAGGCTTAAAGTGTTCCTTTTATTGTCACTACTAATTTTTTAGTTACTTAGTTCCATTTGGTGCTGCATCACCTGTTTATAAAATTCTTTCTGATATACTTATTTAAAAACCAATTTGATTGTCGCAGATTGCTGCTTTTGAAAAAAATCGATATCCTCTCTTGAACTATCACCATCAGGACAAAGCAATAAAGTAGATATCTTTGTTTTCTCTTTCCATTTAAAGCAGTATTAACCTTAGAGAAAAGTAGTGAATATCCTATGAGCCAGAATCCAGAGAGCCTTTCTGCCAACAAGTTTCAAGTATCCTTGGATAAAGAACCAGAAATAGAAAGGTAAGAAGTAATAAATGTCAAGTTGTGGCATCTAAGTTATACCTTCACTTACATTGAAATCTTATGTTAAATTTTTCCTACCATACGTTCTCTAGTTTTTTGTTACAACCATTTGTAACCTCTCTTTGCCCAAAGACCATCTATAAGCTTTTAGGACTTATACTACAACATGAAAAATGTACAGTAGATCTGTCCCTTCTAAACGTGGGGGTAAAATATAGAACTAAAACCTAAACAATCCTGAAGGCTTATGGTCCACTTCTCCGATACAGCACTTGCCCTAATTGAAGTTTTTGCCTTTCTAGAAAAAATTTAGCTGTTGATTTGCCTCAGGAAATATTCAAAATGTCTTTCAGGGATATTTGTTCAGATCACTATTGAGTAATATTGCGTAGCACTTCATATTTTCAAAAATATTTTACCTACTTTCTCATTTGACCTTTACATTCTGTGAAGGTTAAAGAACAACTCCTGGCCTATTATATTTGATAGTTCAGGAAAGAGCCACAGAGCCATTGGAGTCACACATCTCACTACTCTAGGAAGGAAAAGGAAGTCATGGAGTTCCTGTGCCTTCCTGGGAATAGTGACCTGTTATCAATAATCTAATTACACTGTCTTTTCCAAACCTATTGGGCTGTCTGAAGAAGCTGGGGTACTGCACTATGTCTATGACAGAATGAAAAGATCCGGCCTCCACAGGCACTAAACCCAGGTTTAGAGGGTTTCATCGCCATGCTTTAATCAACTGAACTAACTACCCACTTAATATTCAGACTAAATATTCCTGCTCCTACTCCCCCTGCCCAGTGTAACCTATAGAGACTTCTGTTAAAGAGCCTGCACGTTGATTGGACTTCCTCTTTTAGACTATTTGAGAGCAGCAATTCAGGTTTTGCTCATCTTTAATCCACAGGACCTAGCTCTTTAGTGCCTGACTCATACTAAACACCCAATAATTGTTTTAATTAATTAGCTCATCTCTGAGGTCCTTTAAATCTGTCGATGAGTATCTCATTCAGCAAAGTCCTGTACACCTGGACAAGCAGAGGAATTACTTGCTGTATATTATGTTTTTCTAACTATATTTTATAGCTGGCTTTTTTTTTTTTTTTAAGATTTATTTATTTATACAAGCACTGGGCACAATCAGAAGCGCGGGAGGGTGAGAGAATTCACCAGAACCTAGCTGGCTTTTTTTAAATAAAATGACATTAAACATTGAAAAAGCGGGAGGTAGAGGGCCTCCCCTGGTGGCACAGCGGTTGAGCGCTGGACTGCGAAGCTGCCCGCAGCCTCTGCAGCGCCGGCTCGATCCCCGGCCACCAGCAAGGGTCCCACATGGCGCGACAGACCTCTCCTGCTGCACCCGCTGCTCCCCTCAGCGGTGTGTTTCATCGGTCTGCCTGTTCTGTTCCCTGCTCTGGCTCTGGTGAATTCTCTCGCCCTCCTGTGCTTCTGACTGTATCCAGTACAAATAAATAAATAAATCTTTTAAAAAAAGGAAAAAAAAAGAAAAAGCAGGAGGTAGAAATGATTCTATAAATTTTGCTAAAAGTGGAAAGAAAGAATGAATATAAAGATGTCAAAATTAATCAATTTTCTTTTTCCATGAGAGATCTGGTTCTAATGCCTCCATTTGGACGCAGATGCAGTAGTGAATAGAATTTGAATGAGTGGCAGGAGATAATTTGGTGAAAATTGCTGACATGCTTTTAAACATCTAGGAGATATACTGCCTCGGACCAGACCCTAAGGGGAGATGTCGTACGTTAGCCCTGACAAGTTGGCAGACAGTATAAAGCCAGACTTCTAAGGCGTCACTTGGGTTCCTTTTTGCTAATCATTCCTGACCTCCTATAGTGAGCTGTTTTAGCCAGGCTTTGGCTGACCAGGAAGTACGATGAGCCAAGCTGTGATGATGGTTTTCTCCTCTCACCCTTCTTTCTAGGTCTTCCCCTTCTCAGTATGTGCGCAGCCCCTCAAGAATCCTTCAGAGCAGGCATTGCCCATCTCAAAAGGAACTCACTAACATTGATGTGGAGGAGCAACCACTGACAAAGTCTGAGGGCCAAGATTTAAGGGAGCAGTCTAATTTGCCAAGACAAGATCTAGGTAATATTTCATCTGCTGTGGTGGAGGAAGCACTTTTATACTACTCCGAATTCTATCTAAAGAGATCCTAGTTAATCACCTTTCTGATGTACAAGTTTTATGAATGCATCTGATATGCTTAAGCCTATTTTAGAAAAATTGCTTGAATGTTAATCTAAGTTTACTTGAAAATTATTGCAGCTGTTAATCTATATTGGTTTAGCTCTAACAGTTTTGAAGATGAAAAAATCTCTGTGCTCTGAATATTTTAATTCAACTGTTAGGGGTCCTAGAATTCAGTTTTAGAACGTGCCCGTTATTGAGAAATGAGGTCAATCTCTGAAGCATTTTATGAATTAATGAGTATAAAATGCCTTATAAGTCACTTTAAACAAATGGTGTGTTTTATGGCTTGTACACCAAAGTTTTAATCAGTAAAAGTTTTAAATTAATCCTCAAAAACACATTATCATAAGAGGTGCTCTGACATCTCAGTATGGTATTTGGCCATGTTTAATAGGATCATTTATCTCATACATTCTCTTTAGCTATGCTTACTTCCTGAAAGAGTGACATTTTTTGAAACTGTTCAGGGATGGTCTCCTATTTTTGATTTGGTAAATGAAAAAACAATAATGTTATCACATATGAAGAAAGAAAAATCGAATATTTTGTGTTATTTTTCTTTTTCTTTATTTATTTATGCATATAAGAACTGGGTGTAGGCCAAAGGTTTGAGGAGTGAGAGGATTCACCAGAGACAGAGTGGGGAGCAGAACAGTTGGATCTACTGAAATACACTGCTAAGGGGAGCAGTGGGTGAGACAGGAGAGAGAGGTCTGCTGAGCCTTGTGGGTTAGCTACCTGGCCACAGTGGCTGGTGCTGAGACTTTAACCCCTGAGCCACCAGGGAGGCCTCTTGTCTCTTTTCAACTTTTGTTTCCTTCCTTCCAAGAGTACCTTATGTTCATTGCCAAACAGTTGGAGAAATTAGGTCACATTAAACTACCTGCAGACTTGTATTGAGAAATAAAATATTGCTATATTTCTTTGGTCAGTTAACTTAAACTTGAATTTTTATTTTTATTTTTTATCTTTTAAGATTGATTGATTGATTGATTGATTGATTTAAACAAGCATTGGGTACAGTCAGAGGCATAGGAGGGTGAGAGAATTCACCAGAGCCCTAGCAGAGAGTAGAACAGGCAGAGTGACGAAGTACACTGCTGAGGGGAGCAGTAGGCAGCAGGAGAGGTCTGCGCACTATGTGGGACCCTCGCCCGCGGGCCGGGGATCAAATCAGCGCTGCAGAGGCTGTGGGTCGCTTCACAACCCAGCGCTCAACCACTGCGCCACCGGGGAGGCCCTAAACTTTTATTTTTAAAATTAAGATTCATGACAAGTACTATTCCTTAGGTAACTTTATTAGGAGTATTTATCACTTTTTTTTTTTATAGAGGCATGTTTCTATTTATTTATTTATTTTATTTGTTTTGTTTATACAAGCACTGGGTACAGTCAGAAGCGCGGGAGGGTGAGAGAATTCACCAGAGCCAGAGTGGGGAGCAAAGCAGGCAGAAGGACTGAAGTACACTGCTGAGGGGAGCAGCGGGTGGCAGGAGAGGTCTGCGCGCCATGTGGGATCCTCCTCCGGTGGCCGGGGAGCAGCCGGGGATCGAACCGGCACCGCAGAGGCCGCGGGCAGCTTCGCAACCCAGCGCTCAACCGCTGCGCCACCGGGGAGGCCCGTATCACTTTTTTTTTTTAAAGATTTATTTATTTATACATACTAGAGCTGGGGTACAGGCCAGAGATGGGGGGGTGAGAGGATCCACCAGAGAGAGTGGGGAACAGAACCGGCAGACTGACTGAAAAACACTGCTGAGGGGAGCAGCAGGCAAGACAAGAGAGATCTGTTGTACCTGTGGGTTTCTCCCTGGCCGGCTGGGGATTGAATTCATGCTGCAGAGGCTGCGGATTGCTACATAGTGCAGTGCTTAACCCCTTTTCGACACCAGGGAGGTCTTTATCACTTATTTTAAATTTAAAAAATTTCTAATTCTTAAAAAGCATAGCATAAAATTTACCATATTAACCATTTTTAAGTGTACACTTGAGTGACGTTAAGTATATTCTCTTTGTTGTGCAACAGACTTCTAGAACTTTTTCATCCTGCAAAACTGAAACTCTCTACCCATTGAACAACTCCCCATTTTCTCCTTCCAGCCATCCTCTGGCAAGCACCATTCTCCTTTCTGTTTCTAAGAGTTTGAGTGGAATCATACAGTATTTGTCTTGTTTGTGACTGACTTCTTTTACTTCGCACAGTGTCCCCAAGATTCATCAATGTTTGTAGCATGCAATGAGATTCTCTGCCTTTTTTTTTTTTAAAGGTTTTCAGCTTTTTAAAACCATTGTAATGTATATGCCACAGTTTCCTTATCCATTCATCTATTGATAGACATCTGGATTTCTTCCAATTCTTGGTTATCAAGAAGAATGTTGAATGAACACGGTGTATACACTTCTCCATTTTATTAAGTAAATGTTTATGTCCAGTGTCTAGTGAATGAGGAGTACCCCATTCAAATGGAGATGCCTTGATTTTTTAAATTTCCGACACTTAGCCTGTTACTACTTTTATAAAGAGTGTTTCTTTTTTCTTTCTTTTTTTTTTTTTGTGGGACCCTCCGCTGGCAGCCGGGGAATGAACCAGTGTTGCAGAGGCTGCAGGCAGCCTCTGCAGCCCAGTGCTCAACCGCTGAGCCACCAGGGAAGGCCCTTATAAACAGTGTTTAAATGAACATTTCTATGACTAAACTTTTACATACATTTTTTACTTCCTTGGGATACATTTCTAAAACTAGAATCACTGACAGAAAGTGTGAACACATGTTAAGATTTTTGCAACATAATTCCAAGCTGTCCTTTACAAAAGTTAAGCCACATTGCATTTCACCAGTTTGTTAATGTACCCATTTTTCTCTTAACCTAATTTGATCTGTCTTTCTAATTCTTAGCAGGGACTGGAAGTTGTAATTCAAGATTCATTGTCATGCAGATTAAACTTCTCCCATTCCTTTCAGAGGGAACCCCTCATCTAGAATCTGGAACCAGCCTCTTCTCCAATGACCCTGAATCTGAGCTCTCTGAAGAAAGAGCCTCAGCACCAGCTCATGTTTGTAGCCTGCCAGCTTCAACTTTTACCTTAAAATTGCCCCCATTTCAAGGTGCAGAATTTGCCAAGAGTCAAGCTGTTGTTCATATTCCTAACACTGCTGGGTATAATGCAAGGGAAGAAAGAATAAGCCTGGAGAAACACAGAGTCAACAAAAGAATATTTATGGTGGCATCAGGCTTGACCCCAAAAGAATTTGTGAGTGTATCCACATGTATCTCCCTGATAACTGAGACTTCATGTATAGTTGTTTTTTTTTTTTAAGATTTATTTATTTATGCATACAAGAGCTGGGGTACAGGCCGGAGATGCGGAAGGTGAGAGGATTCAACAGAAACAGAGTGGGGAACAGAACAGGCAGATTGACCGAAGTACACTGCTGAGGGGAGCAGTAGGCGAGACAGGAGAGGTCTGCTGTGCCATGTGGGTTTTTCCTTGGCTGGCCGGGGATTGAATTCATGCTGCAGAGGCTGCGGAGACTTCATAGTGCAGTGCTTAACCCCTTGTGCCACCAGGGAGGCCCCTCTATTACTAATTTCTGAAAAATTGAACCTATATGAAGCTATAACATGGGTTATTTTGTGTATGTTTACTTAAGAAAGTAATTATTATTAAATATGAGCAGAAAGGTCATAGTTTGGGGTATATAGAGAGAGCTTTTTAAATTTCAGTTTTTAATTTTTTTTAATCTAAAAAAAGCAAGTAGGTGTGGCTCTGCTTACCACAGGGTATCTTTTCCCCGCAAATGAATGAATTTATCAACTTGATGAACTAATTCAAACTGAGTACAAGCACACTGCCAAATAGTGACCTTTCTCTAGTGTGTGCCTTTCTTCTAGCTTGTAATGGTTATTCAGTAGCCTGCCCTGTCATTTCTGCCCTATAACACTCCCCTCGCTGTTAGCATTTTCACATCTCTTTGGACCCCTTGTGCCAAAAACAGTAATATTTCACATTGTGGAAAAATGCCCATGAAAATATTAAGAGCACTAAAACCTTATTTCTTCTTCAGCTGAGTGTAGATTTCAGACATTCTAGGAAATTTATTTCCCCTATAATTAATCAAATTGGCACTACTTCAAATAAAAGTTAAGTGAATATTCTTTAAAACCTTAATTAGATCACAGACCAGAGCATCAAATGGAGTCAATATGGGTACATTTATTATACAATGAAAATTGACCCAGGCATTCATAAGTATCTTTCTTAATAGGTCCTTCTTGGGATCAGAACCATTTTTTATCTTAACTTCTATTAGTATAGAAGGTAGCAGCTTAGCATAACATTCTCTGTGGCCAGATATGTCCCACTACTAAAAAGACAAAGTAAAATGTGTCTACACTAGTAAATACAGTGAATAAGTTTTCATCAGTATGCTGGAATTCTCATCTCATAACCACCTTCCCGGACCAGCTATTCTGAAAATTATGCCTGTCACAGTTTATATTTGCTTGATCATTTGCCTACATACCTGAGATTCCCTTTTACTCATTGAAAATTAGCCTTTCTACTCCTTTGTTTTGTGAGTTCAGCTTTTCAGGAAGGCTGAAATGATCTAATCTTTCTTGGCCATGGGCAATTCTGAGCTACAGATTAGACTGTAAGTGGCTTGGGTACATGTTGTCTTTAAACAAACAAAGAGGAAAACTTTTCAGCTCTATTCAGACTTGCTGAAGTGTGGTAAATTTATTATGAAAGCTGCTGACTGTATTACACATGATTAATTCTGAAGCCCATATTAAGATGATCTTTTCAGCAGTTGCTCTTCTAACTGAATACTGTTTCAGGGCTGGGATTTCAGCAATTAATCAGTTCAGAATTGCTAATGATCCTGGCAGAGGGCAGCAGCAAAAGGGGGAAGATGTCATTAGCTTCTCTAGCCTGGCTTTTTCAGTGCCCTGTGGCAGTATGGAGTGAGGCAAAATGAAAGATGGCCTGATCTCAGTTGCAATACTGTGCAGCACAGACATTTTGGCATGGGTAGCAATAGCTGGTAAATAGTACCCTTAGTAAACAAAGTTATTTACCAAACAATAACTGCTAATTATGTCAACTGTGTCCGTAATACATTTGATTCATTTACTGCCTATTGATTTTTATTTGGCTGATAATTTTTTTTTCTTTTTTTTTTTTTTTTTTTTTTTAAGATTTATTTATTTATACAAGCACTGGGTACAGTCAGAAGCGTGGGAGGTTGAGAGAATTCACCAGAGCCAGAGCGGGGAGCAGAGCAGGCAGAAGGACCGAAGTACACTGCTGAGGGGAGCAGCGGGCGGCAGGAGAGGTCTGCACACCATGTGGGACCCTCCTCCGGTGGCCGGGGAGCAGCCGGGGATCGAACCAGCGCTGCAGAGGCTGCGGCCAACTTCGCAACCCTGCACTCAACCGCTGCGCCACCGGGGAGGCCCTGATAATTTTTTTTTAAGATTTATTTATTTATGCATACAAGAGCTGGGGTACAGGCCAGAGGCATGGGGGGTGGGAGGATCAACCAGAGATAGAGTAGGGAACAGAAAAGGCAGACAGACCAAAATACACTGCTGAGGGGAGCAGCAGGCGAGAAAGGAGAGGTCTGCTGCACCCTGTGGGTTGCTCTCTGGCCGGGGATGGAACTCATGCTGCAGTGGCTGTGGATTGCCTCATAGGTTGCATTTTAACACCTTGTGCCACCAGGGAGGCCCTTGGCTGGTAATTTCTAGAAGGCTCTAGATTTATTTTAGGAAGAATAAGTTCTTCCAGTCTTTCTTCTTAAGAGAAATTGATAGTTTCTGCACTGACTTTTTTTCTTTTTTAAAGATTTATTTTTTTTTTGGGCCTCCCAGGTGGCGCAGCGGTTGAGCGCTGGGTTGCGAAGCTGCCCGCAGCTTCTGCGGCGCCGGTTCGATCCCCGGCTGCTCCCCGGCCACCAGTGGAGGGTCCCACATGGCGTGCAGACCTCTCCTGCCGCCCGCTGCTCCCCTCAGCAGTGTACTTCGGTCCTTCTGCCTGCTCTGCTCTCCGCTCTGGTTCTGGTGAATTCTCTCACCCTCCCGCGCTTCTGACTGTACCCAGTGCTTGTACAAACAAACAAATAAATAAATAAAATAAAACATGCCTCTATAAAAAAAAAAAAGTAATAAAAAAAAAAAAGAAATTAAAAAAAAAAAGATTTATTTTTATTTATTTATACAAGCACTGGGTAGTCAGAAGCGCGGGAGGGTGAGAGAATTCACCAGAGCCAGAGCGGGGAGCAGAGCAGGCAGAAGGACTGAAGTACACTGCTGAGGGGAGCAGCAGGCGGCAGGAGAGGTCTGCGCGCCATGCGGGACCATCCTCCGGTGGCCGGGGAGCAGCCGGGGATCGAACTGGCTCTGCAGAGGTTGTGGGCAGCTTCGCAACCCAGCGCTCAACCGCTGCGCCACCGGGGAGGCCCTGCACTGACCTTTTAAAAGCATCTTGACTTGAAGGTTTTGTAATGTCAGAAGATTGAATTTTGGCTTTAAGCCATGTATCTATAGCCTAACTTTCTGTACAGGCTAGTTATCTCTCAGTTAGGGAATCAAATGATACCTGCTAGCAAAGGGAAAATTGGTATTATTTTGAATCCTTATTTGTAATTCCATGTCTGCTAGTATGGACTATTTTAGAATCTCTGATTGGTTCATAATTTTTATTAAACTATTTATATCAAGGTTTTGGGTATATTAGAATAAAAAGGATGTACATTTCCTGAGAAAAAATGGGACTCAAAGCTAGGATAACTGATGCTCTAAGCTTTCTACTATAGGTCACTTATTATAATGATAATATTTTATTTGATTTCAGATGCTTGTGCACAAGTTTGCCAGAAAACACCACATCACTTTAACTAATACAGTTACTGAAGAGACTACTCATGTCATTATGAAAACAGGTATTCCAAGAATCTTTGTAAAATGTTACACCTCTTGTACTGGCCATATAAAGGAATGGGAGTACTTGTTAAGCATATTATGGATAATAATATTCTAATAGTCAATCAATTACTACTTTTTGAAAGAAAAATAATAGTTTTACTTCCTGACCACCTTTTGTTTGGGTTAAGATTTGGAAAGTGGGTAAACCAGAACAATGAACCTCTTCTACTGCACCCTGCTGGACTACACTGTAAAGGACTTTCTGGTGAGGCAGAGCCAAGTCTTGAAGTAGCAAATGAGGCCAAAGTGGGCGTAGGGCAGAAGCAAGTCTTCGCTCAGAATTTGGATGGTTGGAAACCTCAGCTCCATGTCCACTCTGTGCCCTAGTGCCACTCAAACTTCAAGACAGAGCTAAAGTATGGTTGAGTTTTTCAGGAAACAAGTACAGTATCAGCACTCAGCATAGTATGTGGGAAAGGAAAATTCATTTGTTTAACACCTTCCCCTTCTTAAATTTTACTTACGACTTGCATAATTATGGTGGCCTTGGGAGTTTTAGTTGACTATAAGCAAAATCTGAGTAAGCATTTCTAGACTGCTAAAAAAAAAGAACAACTTTGTCTGAAATAGGCTTATAGGCTTATTAATATAAGCAAAATGTTTGGAGCAAGCAAAATAAAGATCCTGATACCCACCACCTCCCCACTCTATTCTTTGTGGAGTGACTGCCTGAAAGATATGTGATCTCTTTTGAGGACCATGTGTCCTTTTTTTAATTTTAATTCATTTATTCATTTTAAAGTCTTCTGGGTTTTTTTATTTTATTTTATATATTTTTTGCATCATTTTTCATTTTTGCACAATGTATGCATTTTCATCTTGGTTATATTCCCCATATAATTCCCGCCCACCTTATTTTGACCCTAATCCCACCTCCCCTTCTCCCTCCGCCCCGTAGCATGTCTCTGGTTTATAGTTGCTTGTTGATTTTGATTTTTACTTTATTATAATTAGTCTTTTTCCTGGTCCCTTACTTAGGTTTTCTAAATTCTTGTTATGAGTGAGACCATCCGGTATTTTTCTTTTTCTTTCTGGCTTATTTCGCTGAGCATGATCCCTTCCGGCTCCATCCATGTTGCTGCAAATTACATGAATTTATCTTCTTTGCTTGCTGAGTAATGTTCCATTGTGTATATGTACCACATCTTCTTGATCTAGTCGTCTATTTTTGGGCATTTGGGTTGTTTCCATAGCTTAGCTATTGTAAATAGTACTGCTATAAGCATAGGGGTGCAGGTGCCCTTTTGACTTAATGATTCTGTATCCTTTGGGTAAATACCTAGGAGTGGAATTGCTGGATCATATGGAAGCTCCATCTTTAGCAAGTTGAGGAATCTCCACACACCTTTCCATAATGGTTGGACCAGTTTGCACTCCCACCAGCAGTGTAGGAGAGTTCCTTTTTCTCCATATCCTCGCCAACATTTGTTGTAGCTAGTTTTTTTAATGTGTCATTCTCACTGGTGTAAGATGGTATCTCATTATAGTTTTGATTTGCATTTCCCTGATTACAAGTGATGCTGAACATTTTTTCATATACCTGTTGGCCATTTGCATTTACTCTTTGGAGAAGTTCCTTTTTAAGGTGGTCACTGACATACTAGGATGTGTATCCAGAGGTAGATGAGGATGGAGAAAAGGAATTCAATATAATGTCATTTGATGAACAGACTTAAGAGAACAAGATCACCCTCTTCAACTATCTGAAGATAGTTGTTATCTGGAAGAGGAGTTAGACTCACTGGTGGGCTCCAGAAAGCAAAGACCAATGAGTACACAGAGATGCCCACTGAAGCTCAACCATTCTACCCCACATTCCCCTCCTTCCCCAACAAGTTGCCCAGCCCTCTGTGCTCTGCTCACTAGCAAGCTTCCCAGCTAGTCCAATGCTTCTGGGTGAAGACTTTTTTTTTCAATTCTTAGTTTTGTTTTTAAAGATTTATTTCCTTTTATACAAGAACTGGGGTACAGGTCAGAGGTGTGGGAGGGTGAGAGGACTCACCAGAACAGGCAGACAGACCAAAATACACTGCTGAGGGGAGCAGCGGGTGAGAAAGGAGAGCGTTGCCGTGCCATGTGGGTATCTCCCTGGCCAGCCAGGAATCGAACCTGCGCTGCAGAGGCTGGGGACAGCTTCACAGCATTGCGCTCAACCCGCTGCGCCACCAGGGAGGCCCTGGATGAAGGTTTTAACAGACTTCACCAACATGCTCAAATGGAACACACCATGGAAACAATGATATTCATGTTTCACAAATTTGCTGGGGTAAAAGCTACTTAAAGGAGGACCCGAGAGGACTCATGGAAAGAGTTCCCTGGATATTTTGAAAGTCAAAAGGGCCTTCTGGCCATGGACAAAATAATGAAGGCCCTGAACTAGTGCTAAGATGGCAAAGTGAGCTTCCAGAACTTCTTTTCACTAATTTCTGGGCTCACTATCACCTGCAATTCGTATTTTGTGATACACAAGAAGCAGAGGGAAGAAGTAGGCAGCAATGAACAATTACTCCTGCCCCAGTAAGAGTTCTCCCAAAGGCTCCCTTAAGGAATCTGCCTTCTCTCTACCCCTGTATAAGGATTTCATGAGCAGATTGGATCCTTAGAAAATATGCAAATCAAATCTAACCCCCATTTGACCAGAAGAGAAAGAAGTATCAATTCAAGCCAGTTAAGCGTGATTTTTTTTTAAAGATTTATTTATTTATGCATATGAGAGCTGGGGGTGCAGGCCAGAGGTGCGGGGTGGTGAGAGGATTCACCAGAGACAGAGCGGGGAGCAGAACAGGCAGACTGACTGAAACACACTGCTGAGGGAAGCAGCGGGTGAGACAGGAGAGGTCCGCTTTGCCACGTGGGCTGCTCGCTGGCCGGCCGGGGATCGAACTGCAGAGGCTGCGGATTGCTTCATAGTGCTGTGCTTAACCCCTTGAGCCACCAGGGAGGCCTGATTTTTTTTTATATTGTTTACTGCCTCTTGCCCTCAAACAAATTTCCTTTTAAAAAAAAACTTTTTTAAAAAAAAAACCTTTTTCAACAAAATGAACTTGGGAAATAAAGCAGTCCACTCCAGGATGTTTGTTCATGTAGCTGCAGCTGCTTAAACTGAAAGTGTCGACTCCTTGGCCAGCACATTGTGTTAAAGCCTCCAAGGTCTCAGGTCTCTAATCTTTAAAGTACGAAAGACTCAGTAATGTGCACAGGTACCAGCTGCCAGAAGAAGTACCTTGAACTCAGTGCTAGTTTGGAGATGAATGTCATTAAAGCTTAAACTATCTTAATAGATCAAAGTTGTTGAAAGGTGAAAAGAAAACTTTAAAAATGAAAATTAAATCTAAAGTGGTTCAGTCACTAAACTCAAAGACAATACATTTGCAACTTCTTTTTTAAAAAGATTTATTTATTTATGCATACAAAAACTGGGATACAGGCCAGAGGTGTGGGGGTGAAAGGATTCACCAGCGACAGAATGGGGAACAGAACAGGCAGACTGAAATACACTGCTGAGGGGAGCAGTGAGTGAGTCAGGAGAGGTCTGCTGTGCCATGTGGGTGGCTCCCTGGCCGGGGATCGAACTCGTGCTGCAGTGGCTGCGAATAGCTTCATAGGTTGCATCTTAACCCCTTGCGCCACCAGGGAGACCCTATATTTGCTACTTTTGAAATAAAAATGAGGTAAGTTTTCTGAGTTTAAAGCATATTATTAAATCGACTATTGAAACAGTTAAAGAGCCTTAAGAATTGTGAAGACAGAGGATTTTTAATATTTTGTGAAAATTCTGTGAGGGAGAATGACTTGCTACTACTGGCAGGTAACCTACTGTGTTTAGGATTCAGTTAAATACATGTGTCCTATTCAAAACTAAGTGTTCTTTCCTAGTTCTTCAAGGGGGCCCTTGAAACACTAGGAAATAAGTGATTCTTCTGCTGCAGCTTTGTGCAATTCTTGTATAGAAAAGAGAAAAGTTATAAAAATACTCTAGGTTCCTGTCCCTCTCAGGGGAATTAGGAGGTTTGGATTCCCCAGCTAGAAGAACTAGGGGTGAAAATTTGTCATTCAATTGACATTTCAGATTTAGGATTTTTAGCAATACTGTTTTCTTTCTTTTTTAAAAAAAAAAAAATATTTATTTATACAAGAACCGGGGTACAGGCCAGATGTGCGGGAGGGTGAGAGGATTCACCAGAGACAGAGTGGGGAGCAGAACAGGTGGATCCACTGAAATCCACTGTGAGGGGAGCAGCGGGCGAGTCAGGAGAGATCTGCTATGCCATGTGGGTTGCTCCCTGGCCAGGGGATCAAACTCATGCTGCAGTGGCTGTGAATAGCTTTATAGGTTGCGTCTTAACCCCTGCGCCACCAGGGAGGCCCCACAATATTGTTTTCTTTTAGTTTCACATTCTGCCATCCATTTTAGTAGCTCTTCCTTGTCCACCTGTGTCAGTACTTCTGCCAGTGTGTCAGTACTTCTGCCAATGGGTAGTTCTTTGAACACGATGATGGGGATCTTCAGCTAGCCTTGGCATCTAGAAGATGGGGCAGGCATTTCCTCTGGTCTTAACTTCACATCAGCCTTTCCTAGGCTCCACACCTGCTGGTTATAATTGGGGTGCTTCCAGCCTCTGATTTTATTACGAGGGGTGGTGGAATCATCAGTCCAGGTTGATCTCAAGTCCCATATGAGCTGAGGCTCCTTGGCTTCTTATGGCAGCACCTCATTTTGTTTTCTGCTTCTACTAATCCTTCAAATGTCTTTTTGCTTGGTTTTTTTCCTGCAGATGCTGAGTTTGTATGTGAACGGACACTGAAATACTTTCTGGGAATTGCAGGAGGAAAATGGGTAGTTAGCTATTTCTGTAAGTATAATATTATTTCTCCCCTCCTCCCTTTAACACCTCAGAATTGCATTTTTACACCTAACATTTTAACACCTAAGGTTTTTGCTAATGCTGAATCTGAATTACCAAAAGGTTTTTAATGGTAACACTAAACTAGCTTTATCTTTAATGCATATCTCTTTGTTCAGATAAGCTAGCTATGTTGGGGAAATGGATTTCTTTTTATAACTAATAGGACCTAATCTGTTCCTGGCAATGTTATCATATGAACTAAGGATTTATTTGATAGTATGCAGAAATCCGTGTGCAGCAGGAACTTTTATAATGCTTAAATTAAGCATCAACTGTGCTCTAGAAGGAAGTCTCTGCTACAAGCCTTAATAAGGAGCTGTGACTTTATGGAGACGACCTCTCCTCAGTGTTCTTCCTCCCCTGCTCTTCTGAATCACTGAACCATCAGAAGAGCATGCTAGTGAGCTCCGTGTGACCTGACTCTCTTTTCTGTGATCTCTTTAGGGGTGGTCCAGTCTATTAAGGAAAGAAAGATCCTGGATGAGGTAGGTATTTGCTGTTACAAACTAATGAGAAAGACCTGGTGTCATTGATTCATATTGTCACTGAAATATTTTTCTGTTGCCTTTTTTGCATCACTTTCCACAGATTTTCTTTGATGATGGGGATGATCAAATGTTATGCTGGGGGGTAGGGAGAGGGTGAAAAAAAAAAGTTATGCAGAGCAAACCAGAAATTATGTTCTCACTCATTCGTTCTAAGTTTCAGTAGAAACAGTCCTCTCCTCAGAGAAAAGAAAGGGCATTTATAAAGCCAAAAAAAAAGATCCATAAGCATTAGAAACAGGCCCACCTAACTCTTCCATGCATGTACATTTGTTGAAAACTGCTTGTTTGCTGTTGTTAAAGAAAAATCCTGTACACTAATATGCAAATATCTGTTTAGAAATCAGATTCCTTCGAAGGGATATTCCTCTTTATGATACTGAGAACAGTGAGAGGTAAATAAGATAGAGTGTGGGAGGAGGTTAATTTTAGAACAGAGCCATCTAAAAGCTACTGGTGACAACAGATCAGGCAAAATAAAATTAGCAAAAGCAGTTTTAAACTATTATGCACTACGGAGTATATTCATAACTAATTAAATGGCATTTTTCTTGGTTTGGAGAGCCCTACTATGTGCTGGGCACCAGGAATATAGTAATAAACAAAACAGGTTCCTGCACTGGTGGGGTTCATGTTCTATCAAGGGAAGAGACACAATAAATGAAAATGCATTTAAGATAGCAATAAAGGGCCTCCTTGGTGGCGCAAGGGGTTAAGCACCACACTATGGAGCAATCCACAGCCTCTGCGGCACGAGTTCGATCCCCGGCCAGCCAGAGAGAAACCCACATGGCGAAGCAGACCTCTTCTGTCTCACCCACTACTTCCCTCGGCAGTGTATTTCAGTCAGTCTGCCTATTCTGCTTCCCACTTTGTCTCTGGTGAATCCTCTCACTGCCTCCCCCCCACTACCCCACGTCTCTGGCCTGTACCCCAGCTCTTGTATGCATAAATAAATAAATATTTAAAAAAAAAAAAAAAGAAGATAGCAATAAAGGGCCTCCCTGATGGCACAGGGGTGAAAGTCTCAGCACTATCAAGCTATCACCAGCCACTGCAGCGTGAGTTCAGTCCCCACCCACATATGGTGCAGCAGACCTCTCCTGTCTCACCTGCTGCTCTCCTCAACAGTGTATTTCTGTAGATCTGCCCTTTCTGCTCCCCACTCTGGCCCTGGTGAATCCTCTCGCTCCCCTACCCCGCACCTCTGGCCCACACACCCCAGTTCTTATTTGCATAAATAAATAAATAAATAAAAATAAATAAAATAAAAATAAATCTTAAAAAAAAAGATAACAATAAATACTTTGAGGAAACACATAGAACAGATTAGCAATTAACTGAGGACAGGGTTCACTCTTTAGACCGTATGGCTAAGACCAAGGAAAGCTTTCTCAATAAAGCTTGAGCTGAGACCTAAAAGACAAGAGAGAATATAATCTTAAAAAATGTAGGGTAAAGTGTTTTAGACAGTGGAACGGCAAGCATAAAGGTCTTGAGGCAGGAATAAGTTTGATTTATTAAAGAAAGACCAGCGTAGCTGAAGAATAGTAATGAGTAAATTACATATAGGGAAATGTTAGACAAAGGGTAGAAGGTCACAGACAAGGACCAAAAAATAGATAAAATCCCCCAAATATGGATTTTATTTGAAGGCTAATTGGAGGCATGGTGATAGTAAGAAAAAGTTGGTTTAAGGGCTGTTCGGAGGGCCTCCCTTGTGGCTCAGGGGTTAAGTCACATCACTATCAAGCTATTGCTGCACTGCAGCACAAGTTCAATCCCCAGCCAGCCAGGGAGCAACCCACATGGCGCAGCAGACCTCTCCTGTCTTGCCCGCTGTTCCCCTCAGCAGTGTATTTCAGTAGATATGCCTGTTCTGCTCCCCACTCTCTAGTGAATCCTTTCACCCTCTACACCTCTGGCCTAGACCCCTGTTCTTATATGTATAAATAAATAAATAAAATAAATCTTTAAAAAGGGCTGTTTGGAGATAGGATTTACTAATGAGTTAAATTTGGAGGATGAGGTAAAGAGAAGAATTGAGGGTTTTGCCCCGAACAATGGGTGGATATTAGTAATATTAAATTAGGTGAGAAAGGTGTAGAATAACAAAGGGAAGGGTAGGAAGCAGGAGTAAAATCAAGAGCTTTTTCAATTTGTGAATTTGGGATCTGGGAAACAGTCGAGGATAACAAGCAGGGATACAATCAGGACTATAAATTTGAGGGTCATCTTCAAATACATGACATTTATCACCGCTCTCACCAAAGAGATTAGGAAATGTTAAGTGTTCTTTCCCCTAATAACAGCCTGTTGTTATACTCATGCCTTTATTTTTCTTCGTAATACTCTTGGCACCAGCTGTAGTCTTCCCTACAATTTGAGTTTCAATCAAAATTATTTCTAAGCGTTCCTACCCAGATTTCTCAAAAGTCTTTAACCTCCTGAAACCCATTATTCTTTATTCTCTTGTCCTTGACCAACCAAAATAGTGATAATGAAAAACCTCTAACTTACTTCAGTGTATTAAATGTATATTTTATCATTTTCATTTCATTAGCTATAAACCTTTCAGTGGAAATCTGAGAAACCCATATTTCTTTAAATGGTAATACACAATTGATTTAAGAGATCGGGAATTCTCCAGTTATCTTTATAACAGCACAGTATTAGCAGTTTAATCTAAATGCTAAGTGAATGTTTTGAGAAGAGATACATGTTGAAAATTAAAATACATTAAGTCCCAGTGAGGTGAAAAGCCAATTGTTAATTTCTGCCCACAAAGATTTGCTTCAGTGAATTGATTTCAACAGCTAAGATGCTGGTCATTTCAGCTGGTGGGAGAGTCAGAACTCAGCCTGGCAATCCTGAAGTCCTTCAGTACTACATAACTGCTGTGCCTCTGTTGAAGGAAGTGGCTCTTTCTCTGAGTCTCTGGTTTGGTTTTGGTTCTTCCAGCATAATTTTGAAGTCAGAGGAGATGTTGTCAATGGCAGAAACCACCAAGGTCCAAAGAGAAGCAGAGAATCCCAAGATGGAAAGGTAAAGCCTCCCTCGGCTTTGTTGACCCCTCTGTGTTGCATCCCCCTTCGCGAACATGGTCCTGTTCATCTTGTAAGGGGCATCACACGTCGTTGCTAGAGCACACGTGAGGTGCTTTCATGTGTCTTCTTTTTTAGTTCTCCCAGCCCAGCAAGGTGTGACATTATCTCCATTTTAGGAATGAGGGAACTTCAAGGTATAGAGAATCTATGTAATACTGATCCCAGCCTGGCATCCAAATCTCAGCTGATCATTGGCAGAGCTGGGATTTGAAACAGATGTGAAACAATCTTTGCTCTTTATACCTTACTATGATGATTTTTTCTAAAGCAGTGTAAGTGTATGAGGGGGGTGTCCTATGGATACATGGAAGAGAAAAGGATTAATAATAACAATTAGCAATTTTATAGCAGCCCTATGAGGCATGTACTATAATTATGTCTATTTTATAGATGAGAAAATTAAGGCTCAGAGAAGTTGAGCCTACGCTCACATAGCTGGTTGTGAATGCAAAACTGGAAGTTGAACCCAGGCAGTCTAGTTTCAGTATCTGAGCTCTGAACAAAAATGTCATAGTTTTTTTGGAAGTTAGAGAAAATTTCACAGAGGAGAAGAATTACTCTAGCAGCTTTGCAAATGAAGGATTAGAGGCCAGGAAGATTCAGTGACTTTCCCCTGATCACACTATAGCAGATGATAGAACCAAAAACTGTGTTTTCTGAGGGAGAAGTTGAAGCAAGACTTCATACCTGCATGTCAGGCCTGAGCCGGCTGCTTTCTGACGTCACTGACTGAGTACTTGTTTTCCTTGTCTGCATTTCTTTTTCAAGTGTGTACCCCTGGGCATTTCAGAACATCCCCATGCAGAGCTCCTTCTGCCTCTTTACAGAACTTCAGAACCAAAAAAAGGTGATTTTCTAAGGAAAACTACTTTTGGGACTTGATCACAAATCAAGTCCAGGAACGCAGAAACCTCGGGGTCAGCCTGCCCTCTCCCACTGAGCATGGCAAGTGTAACTTCCAGAAGCTAAGAAAGCTGCTGGATCTATGTCTACTTCTGCTTTCACCCCAGGGGAGCTCCTTGTGCACCAGCCATTTGCTTTTATTCCACTGTCTACAAGACAGAATTAGTACCGGATTCTTCACTTCTTCAGAGGAAATTCCAGTAGTATAGGGTTCTTTCCCTGCATTTGGAGTGGCAGTGATGGCAAGGGACTGGTCAAAGTAATGACATTCTGAAAGTCATTAATGTCTCCATAGTATTCCTGTGAAAGAGAAATGTCTTTGTAGAGGTGAAAGCTCAAATTTCTTATCTTGTGACATGACATCCTCATCAATGTGTGTCAGTCTGGATACAAAAATTTCTAATTTTTGTTCTTCTCACAACAACATTTGATTCCAATTGACTGCCTGGAGGGAACTTGTAGCATTATGAGGATCTAGGTGCTGTCAGCAGGTTGGGGACGCAGTTACTCATACAGGTAGTTAGAATAGCACAGATGGAGGCTGTCACTTAAAACAGAAACAGACTTGACTTGTCCTGCTTTCCTTTTGTGTTCCTCTGCTATAGTTGAAATGGAAGGGGAACGGAGTCATTTCCTTAAGGGCCATCATATGTTCTTAGCTTCCTGATTTTTTTCTCACTCTCTTACTTGAACAAAATGAGTTCTAAGGCCTGGAAATTTTGTTTTCAGTGGAATTAATAGGGTAAAAAAAAGGAGGGTCAAAAGAATATGAGTTCTCAAGTGTATATCCCAATGAGAAATATCCAGCCACTGGCACACATTTAGATTTCTTCTTTTAAGTGATACCCAAGTCCTTTCCTAACAACCCATGCCAATGCTGGTGGAAGAATTTGCCTAACACAGTAGCTACCAGCCATGTGGGGCTGTTTAAATTTTAGATAACTAAAATTAAATAAAATAGGAAGTTTAGTACTTCACCCACCCTAACCAACTCTCAAGTGTCCAGTAGCTCCATGTGACTATCTTATTAATGCAAATACAGAAAATGCCATCATCATACAAAGTTCTTTTGGACAGAGCTGTCAAGCACTGTAAGGGGAAGAGGCCCCTACAGGCAAAGTGTGATTTGTGTCTCCCAGAAACCAGGCAGTCAGTCAGCAGAACCAGGCTACACTTCTAGATTAAAATCTATTTAGGGCCTCCCTGGTGGTGCAAGGGGTTAAGCACCACATTATGAAGCAATCCACAGCCACTGCAGCACGAGTTCATTCCCTGGCCAGGGAGCTACCCACATGGCGCAGCAGACCTCTCCTGACTCGCCCACTGCTTCCCACAGCAGTGTATTTCAGTCAGTCTGCCTGTTCTGTTCCCCACTCTGTCTCTGGTGGATCCTCTCACCCCTCACATCTCCTGCCTGTGCTCCAGCTCTTGTATGCATAAATAAATCTTTAAAAAAAATCTATTTAGGTTGCCTGAAGGAACAGTGGCCATTCTCAGAGTAGTGGGGAGCCAGGAACAGATATTTGGGGACCAGAGGAAAGAGGAAAAAAGGAGCATGTAAACACAGACCTCCCTGCCAATTAGGGTCGTGGTTCATATTGATTAACCTAGTCTGGATAAACATCAAATGTCAACTAATACTTGTAACTGGAATTTCTTGCCATCCAAGCCTTTTATCAAACATAAAGAAGGACCAGTTTCTTCTTATCTCTTAACAAGTGAAGTCACCTGTAAAAGTCATCAGGGAGGAGACCAGTCTCATTGGTGCCAAAGTGTGATGCTCAGCACTTGCATGACAAAAACAACAATAAAGTAGATCAACTCTGTGTACATATCCCCAAAAAGTCTTCTAAACTTCATCAAAGTTCTCAGGAAAGTAGCAGCAGAAATCATCAGATGGGGGCCTCCCTAGTGCTCTAGGGGTGAAGTCTCAACGCTATCACTGCTGTGGCATGTGTTCGATCCCCAGCCAGGGAGCTGACCCACATGGTGTAGCAGACCTCTCCTGTCTCCTTGCTGCTCCTCTCAACAGCATATTTCAGTCATTCTGACTGTTCTGCTCCCCATTCTGTCTCTGGTGAGTCTTCTCACACCCTGCACCTCTAGCCTACACCCCAGTTCTTCTACGCAAAAAGAAAAAGAAAGAAATCATCAGTTGGTTAAGAAAAAGGATAGTTCAGGCCTCCCTGGTGGTGCAAGGGGTTAAGCACCACATTATAAAGCCATCCACAACCTCTGCAACATAAGTTCCATACCTGGCCGGCCAGGGAGAAACCCATATGGCGCAGCAGACCTCTCCTGTCTTGCCCACTGCTCCCCTCAGTAGTGTATTTCAGTCAGTCTGCCTGTTCTATTCCCCGCTCTGTCTCTGGTGAGTTCTCTCACTCCCCGCATTTCTGGCCTGTACCCCAGCTCTTGTATGCATAAATAAATAAATAAATAAATCTTAAAAAAAAAAAAGGGCCTCCCCTGGTGGCGCAGTGGTTGAGCGCTGGCTTGCGAAGCTGCCCGCAGCCTCTGCAGCGCCGGTTCGATCCCCGGCCGCCGGGCAAGGGTCCCGCATGGCGCGTAGACCTCTCCTGCTGCCTGCTGCTCCCCTCAGCAGTGTACTTCGTCAGTCTGCCTGTTCTGTTCCCTGCTCTGTCTTCGGTGAATTCTCTCACCCTCCCGTGCTTCTGACTGTACCCAGTGCTTGTATAAATAAATAAATCTTTAAAAAAAAAAAGAAAAGGAAAGTTCATTTCTGAGAGTCTCTTTATGTTGTCTTTCGTGACCCCCCTTACTATCTTATAACTAATGCTCCTTCCCCCACCCCACCCCTGTCATCCTCCAGATCTTCAGGGGCCTTGAACTCTGTTGCTATGGACCCTTCACCAACATGCCCACAGGTAAGAAACGGGGAGAACTGTGCTCACTAGCACTCGCCTGTGCCTTATATAGTGGGGTGTGAGAGGTCTCTTTATGGGGTTCCCTAGGTTGGTGAGATGTTTTAAAGATATTTTAGTTCCCTACACCCATCAGACAGAATTGCTCGTAGATATTACCTTACGGCCCAGAGAAGCCTGCACCTGTTCTGAAGATCAAGAGAAGAGTGGTTAGGATCTAGCACACAGGCTGTTCGGTACTCAGCCTGGGTTGGGCTGCTCTTCCACTTCTTTGATCAAAGGGGGAAATAATAAATTGGGAGAGATCTTTTGGGTTTATAAAAGTCAAGAAAGTTCTGCTCTTCCTAAGCCATCTTCATTGGATACAAAGGAGAAGAAAGCACAGCCCCTGCATACACCCTGTGGGTCTGGGGGCCCACAAAGGCCCAGAGCAGGGGAAGACTCCTGATGAATATTTTCTAATTAAATTTGACACTGAATGTGATAATATGTTTAGGAGTGCTATGGGACTCAGCTCTGGAATTGTGCAACTCTGGGGGCCTTGTGTGTGTATAGCCTCTAAAACAAAGGCTACCAACATTTGCCTTATATGCCCACTTCTGCCCCAGGGACTCAGGTCTTACTCCTCAAAAAGAGTAAGACCCAGCTAGGCATTTGTTCAGGGACAGATGGGTGGCAGCAAGAGAACCTGGAAAAATAATTTTGCTTCTGTCTTCTTTATTGGTTATTGATTGGGTTTTTATGAAATTTCCACATGGCACTCAAGAATTTGTCAGTGTTTTTTTACTTTGATAAAAGTACTTTTTTTTTTAACTTTGATATATGACCTCAGTTCACTCAAACAGGGAACAGCTCAGCAACTCCCAGAAATGGACTGGGCATAGAAACTACCCTGTTGGTAGTTCTGTTGATTTTTCAGGGGCAAGTGGGACATCTCTGTGATTTCTTCTGCTTTTTCTTCCCCTGAGTGTGTGGACTCCAGCTAAGGAGGTAGCCTTTGCCCACCAGTGTGCTGACTCCCCTGTCCAGAATAACATGGTTTTGGGGTTTTTATTTTGAGTGAATAAATTATCTTCTCTTGACATTTACAATAATTTCTACCAAGTATGGCTGTGATTATCAATTACCAACACAGAGTTAGGTAGGGAGGGGGGGAGGCAGGCATTTTTCACAATATCTTAGCCAAAGACTTGGCAAATTAATTGAAACTAGGTCTTGCCTTTTTTTTTTTTCTTTTTTTAAAGATTCATTTTTATTTATGCATGCATGTAAGAACTACGGTGTAAGCCAGAGGTGCAGGTGGAGAGAGGACTCACCAGCGAAAGAATGGGGAGCAGAACAGGCAGATATACTGAAATACACTGCTGAGGGTAGCAGTGAGCAAGACAGGAGAGGTCTGCTGCACCATATGGGCTAGCTCCCTGGCCGGGGATTGAATTCATGCCGAGGTGGCTGGTGATAGCTTAATAGTGCTGAGACTTTAACCCCTGCGCCACCAGGGAGGCCCTATTTTTTTTTCTTTCAAAAGTATTTTATTTGCAAGACTATCAAACTTTATCAACCAAGTGGCCTTATAGAGACTATAACCAGAGTAGGTAACATATCAAAAGAAAATTGACTTGAATCCATACTCCTAGTATAGATCTTCATTTAAGACCCTTCTGTTCCTTTTGTAGCAGAGAGACTTCTCCCACCGATAAATCTTGCTGTTAGCTTTCATCCATATGAGTCTGGGGTAGAGGGCGCAGGTTAAGGGTGCAGATTACTGTGGTAATTTTAAGTCTACATTCCCTATTTAGATCAACTGGAATGGATGGTACGTCTCTGTGGGGCTTCTGTGGTGAAGGAGCCTTCGTCATTCACCCTTGGTGAGGTAAGCCCTTGCTGCCTGTCAGAGGGGGAGTACACATTATCTGTCCTGTGATTAAGCGAGGGTGACACCTATCGGTCTCTTCGAACCACCCCCACCCCCAGTGTAGGCTTAGAAAAAACTGTCTTTACCCCCAACCTTCTCTGACCACTTACCTGTGCCAGAAGACTCCATCTGTACTGGATAAGCAAGGAGTTCGGAACTCCAAGTGTTTCACTACTGAGGGCTTTTTGCCATGTATCCTTCCTTTTTGCCATGTACCTTTCCCCTTTCCTTTCTGTGACTAAGTCCAGAATAGTTTGCTTCAGCAAGCCATCAAGAAATGATGAAGCGACTGTTTGAAAAGTCCTGTCCTTTTTTTTTTTAAAGATTTATTTATTTATGCATACAAGAGCTGGATATAGGCCAGAAGTGTAGGGTGGTGAGAGGATTCACCAGAGACAAAAGTGGGGAGCAGAATAGGCAAATCTACTGAAATACACTACTGAGGGAACAGCATGTGAGATAGGAGAGGTCTGCTGCACCATATGTGATCAGCTACCTGGCTGGGGATCAAACTCAGGCCATAGTGGTGATAGCACTGAGACAATCCTAGGCCACAGGGGAGGCCCCCATATTGTGCTTTTAAATGCTGTTTTCTTCCGGGGATGTAGGGCACTCACCCAATTGTGGTCGTGCAGCCAGATGCCTGGACAGAGGACAATGGCTTCCATGGTAAGATACCTGTGTGCCTGTGCCTGGGGTTCTGCTAGATGTGTTTACCACAGGTTACCCAGTGTTTGATTAACACAGTTTTCAGTACAGTCTGGGTGATCAATAAATATCTGATGAGTGAATGAGTGAACGGATTGCTAAAGTGTTCTTTTGAAACTATTGTTTGCTTTGTGTTATGAAAGCAATGCATAAACCATTTCAGTGGTGGGGCAGGGGGAGTAAATATGAATGTTTATCAAATAAAATACAAATGAGTACAAAAACTATACAATAATTCCAGTAATCCCACCACTTGGAGATGATAAAATTTTCTAGTTGTCTCTGTGTTTATATGCACACATCTATTTTATACAAATGTGATCATGTTCATTATACTGTTTTGCTTTTTTGTTTAAGGTATTGTAAACATTTTCCATCTCATTACATTGCAGTGCTGTTTTGCTCTCTCTGGTGACTTTCCCTTTAACATTGGAGCTCAGGTTTAATAAAGTTACCGGAGACTATAGGCTGTCACCAGCAGTCAGTCCTCAAGACTAAGTCTGGCCCTATGTCCTGAAGCAGTGCTTAAGATCAACAGTTTGCTCCTATCTGAACCTTAAGAATTCATCCAGCAGGTCCTCGGGGTAGATTGATTAGAGTCTGGTCTGGGAATTATGTGAATTGACACTAATCTCCGCTTGTATTCTCTGTCCCCAGCAATTGGTCAGATGTGTGAAGCACCTGTGGTGACCCGAGAGTGGGTATTAGACAGCGTAGCCCTCTACCAGTGCCAGGAGCTGGACACCTACCTGATACCCCAGATCCCCCCAAGCTGCTGATTCTAGCCAACCATACACATAGGGCCAGTCTCCACAGGATTCCAAGAAATGAATTTAAGTAATGGCCTTTTTCCAGGCCTTGGGCATTCCTCTTCAATCTTTTCACAGTCCCAGTTACTAAATATTTTATGCACATCAGCCTGAAAAGAACTTCTGGCTATGCAAGGGTCCCTTAAAGATTTTCTGCTTCAAGTCACCCTTTGAAAATCTGTCATGAGTACAAAATTGTGGTAATTTTTCACCTGAAAAGAATTTAAAACTATTTAAACCCCACCAATTGAGCAAGGTGCGGATTCATTATATATCAGTGCTATCTCTTGTACTGGGGCTGTTGGCTTAGAGCGAGAGGCACAGAGTAGCTAGCCTTAGGAGAATAGCTAGTTTCTCTGAATTTGTTTCTCTAAAAACCCTGTGTTCAAAGGCCAAGAGTTTGACCCTTTGATGGAAGGCAAGCACTTGGGCATCTGTTATTATGTGACTTAGAACAGTCCTTGGGCAGCTCTCAATGTTGAACTGAAGCATTGGGGAGGGAATTCAGAGGCAGGGAATGGATATAAATATGAAACTTCAGGGTAAGTCAGAGGAGAAGAGGAGTCATGTTGATTCTAATCTCCAAAAGTCAGGGCTGTATTGCTAAAGAATTTCTTAGCACTGATGTATTATAAAACAGCAGAGTCTTTTCAAGAGCTGGTGTCCAAAGAGAATCTTCTAATTCCCCAGTAGTAATAAATAAAATGTTTATTGTTGTAGCTCTGATATATGTAACCCATTCCTCTTGAAATATAAGTTATCTGATATGAATATTTCATGTCTGTAAAGTGACGGATCCCACCAGGAAAGGAGCTGTTGCTTTCCTTGAGGTAATTTTTTTCCCTTTACTCCCTATTGCTGAACTGTACAGCTTCATAAGTAATTTTGTTTGCTGAAGGAAGAAAAAGTGTTTTTCTTAAACTCATTATCCAGAACTGTTTATAACTGTTGGAAGGACTAGGTGGCCTCCCTTGGCCCCCCAGTTTGTGAGGGCAATGCAGACTTGATTGTATTAAATATGTTTTCTAAATGTTATACTGTTATACTGTTTACCTGCAAATAAACTTGGTAGTATACACCTCTGCAGCTGACTGTTCTTGAGGTTTACTCCTGCAGACTTTCTCAGAGCCTTTCCATTGTACTTCATTCTTTTCCTCTATAAAATGGGGGTAATAATAGTACCTACTAGTTTATTGAGGGAACTTAATACTGACTGCTTTGGGTTTCTTTTTTTTTTTAAGATTTATTTATTTATGCATACAAGAACTGGGGTACAGGCCAGAGGTTTGGGGAGTGAAAGGACTCACCAGAGACAGAGTGGGGAGCAGAGCAGGCAGACTGACAGAAATACACTGCTGAGGAGAGCAGCGGGCGAGTCAGAGGAGGTCTGCTACGCCATGTGGGTAACCTCCCTTGCTGAGGTTCGAACTTGTGCTGCAGTGGCTGTGGATATCTTCATAGTGCTGCTTCCTAACCCCTTGCACCACCAGGGAGACCCTGCACTGGTTTTCTATTGCTGCCTTAAGAAATGGTCACAACTCTAGTGGCTTAAAATAACACCCATTTATCATCATATAGTTCTGTAACTCAGAAGCCCAAGTTGGCCCAACTGGTTTCTTTGTTTCCAGTTTCACAAAGCCCAAAATCAAGGTGTTGGCCTAGCTGTATTGCTTTTTTTTTTTTTCCTTTTTTTTTAAAAAATTTTATTTTTTATACAAACACTGGGGTACAGGCCAGAGGCACGGGAGGGTGAGAGAATTCACCAGAGACAGAGCAGGGAGCAGAACAGGTAGAAGGACCGAAGTACACTGCTGAGGGGAGCAGCGGGTGAGACAGGAGAGGTCTGCCCCCCATGTGGGAATCTCCCTGGCTGGCCGGGAATCAAACCGGCACTGCAGAGGCTTCGGGCAGCTTCACAGCGCTGTGCTCAACCAGCTGCGCCACCAAGGAGGCCCTGTATTCCTTTTTAGAAGATGGATAGGCTCATGATGCCCAAGCTCCCTCATCAAAGCCAGCCAGCTGGTCAAGTCTCACATTTGGAATCTGACTTCTGTCTCATATCTCCTACTTGCATCTCTAACTCCAGCCAGAGGAGTTTCTTTCTTTTTTTTTTTTTTTAGATTTACTTATTTATGCATACAAGAAATGGGGTACAGGCCAGAGGTGTGGTGGGTGAGAGGATTCACCAGAGACAGAGCAGGGAACAGAACAGGCAGATCTACTGAAATACGCTGCTGAGAGGAGCAGCCAGTGTGTCAGGAGAGGTCTGCTGCGCCATGTGGGCAGCTCCCTGGCCGGGGATCGAACACATGCTGCAGTGGCTGCGGACAGCTTCATAGGTTGCGTCTTAACCCCTTGTGCCACGAGGGAGGCCCTAGAGGAGTTTCTGTTTTCACGACTCAGGTGATTCACCAGGTCATCCTGAGTGATAGTCTTATCTTAAGGTCCCTAACCTTTTTTTTTTTTCCATAAGGCTTGGAATTTCTTTTTTTTTTTTTTAAGATTTATTTATTCATTTACACAAGAACTGGGGTACAGGCCAGATGTGCAAGAGAGTGAGAGGATTCAACAGAGACAGAGTGGGGAACAGAACAGGCAGACTGACGAAATACACTGCTGAGGGGAGCAGCGGGTGAGACAGGAGAGGTCTGCTGCACCATGTGGGACCCTCACCGGCCAGCCGGGATCAAACCCACGCTGCAGAGGCTGTGGACAGCTTCACAGCTCGGTGGTCAACCACCTGCGCCACCAGGGAGGCCCAAGGTCCCTAACCTTTATTACAGCTACAGAATACCTTCACAGCAGTACCAAGATAAGTGTTTGCTTGAATAACCAGGGGACAGAAACCTAGGGAGGGCTTGTTTAGAATTCTAACAACCGTTCCTATTTAACATGCCTGATCCACAGGTTATAGTTGGTATCACCACTTCTGCACATTCTTCAGAAATTGGAATCCTCTTTGAGGTGAAGAGAATGAGATTCTCACATAATTCAATACTGCCATATTTGTGAGAAGGGTGAGTGGGTGAAGGAAAGGTAGAGAAAATGGAACTGACTGCTATTATTCCACTTTTATCTTATAGTCATCATCATAACCCTGTGGATATTTGTCATTTGAAAAACAAGTACTGAAAAATATAAGATTTTACTCAGTTTGCACAACTAGTCATTGACAACCGGAGTTCTGAACCAGCTCTTTTCCGTCCCATTGTTTTTGTACCTGCATTCACTCAGGACATAAGTAGCGGTTTAATCCTCAAGTAAAATTTGGAAGGGGAGTGTGTTATGAGGGAAACTAACCCTCAACTTTTATGGGCCACGGTAGAAGGCAATAGAAGGTTCCTATCTCCATGTGGCAGCTCTGCCTGAGAAAGCAGCCCTTGCGCAGGGACTTACAGCATTAGGTCAAGGCCACTTCTGTTTCCACTCCCAGTCAGCCCCCTCTAGTTTACCTTTTAGTTGTCAGGTGCTTCTAGTTCAGCCTCACCAACAGCATGACCCCCCCACTAGGGCCCATGCCAGCTTAAACGGCCAGGTGGACAGAGGGTCTGAGACTGCTACTTCTGAGTGCAGTAGTGTTAGTAAAGGTAGTCAGGAAGCAGGCAGAAGTGCTACTTAAGTGATACTCAGTCCCAAAGTATCTCGATTTTAGTGATAAACCATGACTTCCAGAACCCTGGAGGAAAGCCAGGATTCACTCTGCTGCCTGCATCACTAATGGGTTCATAGAAAAGCAACATCCATTTAATATAGCCTGCCTTCCCAGGAATCCTGGGTGAAAGCAATGATGACAAACACTAAGAAGTTCTCTGTAATTGTCTCTCAGGGTCTCCCAACTTATGTCTACCCAGGTCTGTTCTATAAGCGCTCCATACCCTTCCTGGAGGTCAGCTTCCTTGGTGCTTGACTGTAAGAACCTTAGCTGCCTTTGGAGTAAACCTTGTTCCTTTAACCTCCCTCTGGCTTTAAGATGTGCTCCCACTTTTCCTTCCTTTGATCTTTAGCTCTCTCTGGGTACGACACCATTTGGGGAACTAGTTCCTGAAATGCCTTTATCTCATTTCATGAAATGAACTCTGCAAAGGAAGGAGAAGAGGAGGGATTATGTGGGCACAGGGAGGGAGCCTGGGTGGAGAGGAGCTGGGTAGATTATCTTCCTCCTAAAAAATGCAACCAGAATCATCAACAAAGTATCGGCTCAAAAACACGCTGGAGGAAAAGAAAGGAATCAGTGTTGGGATGGCTGGAGCGGGAGGAGCCGGCTGCCCAGAATGTATCCTGTGAAGTCTGTGAGGAGCAGATAAGGGCAGCGCCAAAGGCAGCCTGCGCAGAGAGAAGGGCAGGGTGAGGGGAACTGCAGATCTGCCCGCAGACACTTGAGAGGAAACTGGGGCCTGCTCTCCAGGGACCCTGGGAACTGGCTTATCAAAGGCTGTAAAATGGCTGAGCCACAGGCCCTTTTACTAGACTTCAGTGATGCTTAGCTCCCTCAAACAGCCTGTAAATCTGCCCATAACAAGGAGAAAATTAAAGAAATGAATCTGGGCAAATAGAAAATTAAGGAGAACTGGAGAAAGCTAGCTCCTGTGGAGAGCAGAGATTGGGGAAGTGCTGAGGAAGCTGGTCCTGAAATGAATCTGAATGATCAGGAAAATCCAAGTAATGGTGTCAGAGCCTGGAAGGACTGGAGAACTGAGAGGCTGCTGCCACATTATGAGGACCTAGTTTTAGGGACCCAGATTAAGGCATTTAACATGCAGCTTAGTATAGTTAGTCTCAACTGTGGTCCCCTGATGGGAATGAAGGGAGGTAGGGGCTTGTTAGGCAAATTCTGGGATCTCATTTCAGACCTACTGGATCAGAAACTGGGGCAATGGGGGGAGGAGGGTGTTTGAGGACAGCAGTCTGCAGTTCTGAAGTAAGCTCAAGTTAGAGAATCTCTGCTTAGTTTAAGGAACAGCTAATTGGTGTAACGTGTTACTTCTGGTCTATTTTGTCTCCAGGAACAGAGGAATCTTGAACCTGTTAAGGAAAACTAAGTTTCGTGGGCTGCTAAGTGGTTCTTAGCCACAAGGTTACAGCAGCTGGCTTTAGTTGACTCTAAAATGGCCCTTTAAAAAAATACAGAGCAAAGGACAAAGATTGAATTATATTAGCAACTTAGGAGCAAAAGGGCCAGACTGCTTAAAAAAGATAGCTGGAGGGCCGCCCTGGCGGCACAAGGGGTTAAGCAACGCACTATGAAGCAATCCGCAGCCTCTGTAGCATTAGTTCAATACCCAGCTGGCCGGCTGGCCAGGGAGCAACCCACATGGCACAGCAGACCTCGCCTGTCTTGCTCGCTGCTCCCCTCAGCAGTGTATTTCAGTCAGTCTGCCTGTTCTGTTCCCCACTCTGTCTCTAGTAAATCCTCTCATCCCCTGCATCTCTGGCCTGTACCCCAGCTCTTATATGCATAAATAAATCTTTAAAAAAATAGCTGGAGGTTTAGGAGGTTTTATTAATATTTAAATTGCAGTGAAACCACAGCTGCAGCCTTTGACTCCAGCATAGAGATATGCAAATATGGCTTTCTAAAGAAGGCAATTTTAGGCAGCCCTCAAGGTAACAAGAACAAATAAAACAAATGATTTTGTAATTTATCTTTATTGACTGATAGAAAGCAAAGCATAGACAATTTATACCCAGTGAGAGCCACCAGCAGGTTCTCTGAGGGGAGAAAACTGGCCTAGAGGGAGAAAAGGCAGCCGACTCTCACTCAGAGACTGGTGACTGGAAAGACCCCAGGAGAACAAAATGGAAGGAGGCAGCTGGGAGAAGACATCTAAATTAAAAGGAAAGGAAAATGAAGGCCCAGCCCTGGGTTCTTTAGACCACATGATCTTGTCAGCTCTCAGGAGCAACAATAATAATCATTAATTACTATCATTTGCCACATTCCTATTAAATACTATGCATTCTTCCCCACCATATCCGAACCGGGAAATGACACTTTGAGAGGTCAGGCAACTTGTCCAAGGTCATACAACAAAAGGAGGTAGGAAAACCTTGATTTAAACAAAGATGTGCATGAATCTAAA